TGTGGCGAGCTGACTTTGTATAATACCGATTACAGAAGGGGTTGTAATCTTATGCCAGTTAAGGGGATAGCATGTATGCGTTAAGATCTTGGTATGGGCCATCATATACAATTGTGGCGTCAATAAGATATATCACGTTACACCGCAGTTTCGCTTGGAAAATCATTTCGTTCGCTGTGAAATAGCGATAGCTAAAGCAGGATAAGCGTGTATAAGCGTGTAAGCAGAGCCGCGAGTTTGTGGTTCTGAAGGATTACGGGATCAGAAAGGTACCATGCCACGCATAGTGTAGGTACTGGACTTATTCCTACATATCGGTTACGCTTACCGTTGCCGTACAGGTTATATTATTTCCCCATGTATGCCTAGGTACCTAGGTTAGGTTAGGTAGTGTTGAGAGTCTCCCGGTTCTGTGGTTTATACTTAACTATAGTTAGTTAATCTAGTTATAAGATAACTCAGACTTCAACAATCAAAGTTCAAAGGGGCAATAAAATATACACTGCAAAAAGAAAAAGCTATAAGATTAACCTAATAGACTAGCCTCTGAACGTCGGGCCTCTATTTCGGCCTCGTGGATCAGATGGACTGGGATGATGGTCCACTATCTCCGTAGGGAACGAATACCTGCATTAGGTACAATTAATCATCTGACCCGATCGTGTAGGCGGCCCCATAACTTTTCGTCTGATATTTTTTTTTTTTTTTTTTTTTCAATTTTCATCTACATACTCGAGGTAGTATCCTTATTTCTCTTTCACTTCGCTTCTGACGTATCTTCCGGTGGCATCCGATGTGCATCGTATAATCTCACTCCTGCATGGAAATACGAAGATAACAGATGCACTGACGCTGTGTCTTGCTGTGCTTTAATCTTGATCTTGCATGCTGCGCCGTATTTCTCCTAGGTAATCATATCACATTAGAAAGTGGGAATGGGAGTAAATGGTCATGCAGCTCATCGAAACTATGCAGCTACATCTCGTCCCTCGTGCATCAGCTCATTACACCCACTCATAGTGTTCCGAGTCATGCCTCAGCAAAGATGTCTCGGAGCCGGAAATTCCCTTTGACATGTCGTCCCGCCGAAGAGGGAAGTTACCTAAGCATCTTTACATCACCCGGCATGCTGGTTTCAGGACGTCATTTTTAATAGGTCTGCCGTGGGGTAAATGGTACCGTAGTATTGGAGTTGTTGTCTGCTTGATTACGCATGGCCCAATGTCACATAGATCAAGAGACTGGTGTATGTTATACATCCCGCTCGCTTGAGCGCTTACAGTGACGAGGTGGCGTGAGGCTGCTATTCGATGAGGCAGTGCCGACTTATATATCTACCGCTAAATTAGATTAGATATTTCATCGGTATGGATGATCTCCAACTCGCAAACTTGGTTGGCAATGCGTCAAAAGTAATAAGGCACGTCAGCGTCGCATTATAGTGACGACAAATTGGTGATAACTCATATCACTTGTTGGTGGGACTGAATATGCTAAGAAATAATTATGAATTTTGTAACAATGACAATCTCACATGAAGTCGTCTCTAAGTAATTGCTTAATTTTCCATTCAAAACCTTACTCTCATTCGACATTTGTTTATATATCCCTGTTTTAGATCATAATATCCCATTTGTTGCTAACTGAAGAATTAGTAGTGATACGGTATCATACTCTATCTGACCGGTATTGCCCTTGATATAATATTGTATATAGTGAAACGAAGCAATGTTTTCTGAGCTGCTAGCTATGAAATATACAATAACAGTTGAAGGTCTCCTTAGAAATTCTTTTGACTTTGCTAGGTCAATTCATGAGTTGGCCAAATACCTCAAATACTAGGTACCTACCTAGTTAATTATGATTATAGAATCTTTATATTAAGCCCTTTAAGGCGATTCTATACTGGGACATTTCACATTATGTCATATTGATGAAAGGAAAAAGGGATGAAAAGTTGAGATTATATGTATCATTCATGTAATACGGCTTATTAACTTGCTATAGTGAAGTTAACAACACCGAAGACGTCTGATAATCATGACTGGGATTCGATGGAACATAATGGCCTTATATATGATAGAATTTGAGACCGCTTAAAATCGGGTAAGTACTAATAGAAGTCTATTATCAGCTAACCCGCGGGGTTAATAGACCCTTTATGCATATTAGAGCCTCACAAGCAAGCCGCTAGCTACCAAGGTAATTTGTGGATGCTTTATAGCTTCTTATATGCAGAGTGAGCATATACGAGAAAATAAACCTGTAAGCTGCTCATTCATGATATAATATATTAATGAGATGAGCCATTCACATGATACTTAGCTTGAGATAGCATCGTAAGTGACATTTGATACCTATATGATTTATAGAGAGGTATGCATGCGGAGCTATAAAACGACTTGAAGTTCTAATAGACCTTTTGCTTCGTTCCTCTACCGTTCCCGTCTAAAAATCTCATATCTAAAAGTCTCATATCCAAAGACGTATAACTAAACCCTCGTCTTACTTACTCTTTTGCACAATCCTTTGTTTCGATCGTCAATACAAGGAAGCAAACCTGGATCCTGGCCTCCCCCCTAATTTCTCAAAATCCCAAGGGGAGGCAAAAAACCACAACGACATAGTTACATAGGATCATACAAACATCACACCTCGGTGAGAACTAACAGCACCATCTGCCTTCCCGATTAGGTAGGTCAGAACATGTGCCAACCTGTTTCGGGCTTAGCCCGGCAGGCTTTTGCCCAAACACCATACTCACGTGAAATGACGTGCTTCAATACATGCAAAATCCGTTAAAAGCCTGTAACCTAGACGCTTGATATATAATCGACAATGCGAGCTGCTAGGTTATGCATGTTGTTGGTCAGGGGGGTAACCGACGAGCCATGACAACGCTAGTTTAGCAATATCTCAAGGCGAGCCTAAGTCTAAGCGACAAAAGCTGCATGATGGATGTCGACGCGGAAAAGAATGCGCAGGCTACGGCCACTGCGTCCCATGGGACCGCCGACTACGGATATGTGGCGGAAGATAAGCTACGGCGTTCATTGTCCGCGCGCCAGGTCCAGATGATAGCTATCGGGGGCACTATCGGGACCGGTCTTTTTCTGGGAACGGGAAAGGCGTTGGCGACCGGCGGACCGGCCTCGTTGTTGCTTAGTTATGCTATCGTGGGAGGCATCGTGTTCGTGACGATGCTGTGTCTCGGTGAGATGGCTGCTTTTGTTCCAGGTAAGAAGATATGCCGATAGTAACCGATCACCGATCACACACAAGCTGTACCTATATACTAACTTACCCCTTAAAGTGGCTGGCTCCTTTTGTTCCTTTTCGGCGCGTTATCTAGATGATGCATGGGGTTTCGCTCTGACGTGGAATTACTGGTTTAACGATGCCGTGTCTACGGCTGCTGATCTAGTTGCCTTGCAGCTAATCCTCCAGTATTGGACCGATACCTTCCCGTGGTACGCTCTCGGGCTCATCATCTGGTTCTTACTCATTTTGGCCAATATTATAAACGTACGGGCCTATGGCGAAGTAGAGTACTGGCTGTGTCTCCTAAAGGTTATCACCATTGTCATCTTCATTATCCTGAGCATCGCTGTAAACGTCGGCGGAAACACGACACACGAATACATCGGTGCGCGAAACTGGTATATTGGCGATGCGCCCTTCGTGGGAGGTATCGGTGGATTTGCTAGCGTCTTTGTAACAGCGTCTTTTGCCTACGGTGGCACCGAATCGATCGCTATTACTGCTGGTGAGACTAAGGATCCGGCTCGCCAGCTACCGCGAGTTGTTAAGAATGTCTTCTGGCGGATATTGTTCTTCTATATCCTTGGCTCCCTGATGATCGGCCTTAATGTGCCGTATAACTACCCGAATCTCAACTCTAAAAACACCCGTACCTCCCCTTTCACCATTGCTTTCCAGATGGCCGGGTCTAGAGTAGCAGGGTCTTTCGTTAACGCTGTCATCCTCACGAGTGTTATTTCGGCAGGAAACCATGCCCTTTTCGCTGGGTCTCGTCTATTATACACCTTATCCATTAACGGTCACGCGCCCAAGGTCTTCGGGCGTTTGACTCGATTCCAGGTCCCTTGGGTATCGGTCCTCTTCACCTCGCTCATCTCCGGTTTACTGTTCGGCGCATCTTTTATCGGCGCCGGCCAGCTGTGGACGTGGTTGCAAAACCTTGTTGGTGTCTCCAACCAGCTATCATGGATCAGCATCGGCATCGCGTCGCTACGTTTCCGTGCTGGCTTAAAGGCGCAGGGAAAGGAGCATCTCCTGCCATTCAAGAACTGGACGTATCCGGCAGGGCCAATTATTGCTATCGTACTCAACAGCTTTATCGTTCTCGTCCAGGGGTGGAGCTGTTTCAGTCCGACTTTTAGCGCTGTGGACTTTGTTAGTTATTATATCGAGTTGCCCTTATTTGCCTTGATGTTCGTCGCGTGGAAGTTGATTAAGAAGACGAAGTTCAAGAAGGCGAGCGAGATGGATCTAGTTACTGATGTGTATACGAAGGACGATGTGGAGCCGGAGGAGGAAGGATGGGCCGGAAGGGCTAAGAGAATCGGTGGCTGGTTCTGTTTTTAGTTGTGTAACTCGATTTAGTTATGGGTTAACTACCTGTTATCTGGTTAGGTATGTATGTAGTTATAAGTTTCAATATACCCTCTCATATTCGTTTCTTGTAAATTTTCGACACCTCTCGTACGGACGCCATGTTATGTTGTGATACGAATTAATTATCCTCATCTTCTATTATTTGCTATTGTCCGGTAGAAGTCTTACTACTGGAGATATTATCTAATTTTTGTAAAATAAGTTCCACAAGGGCCTGGGCCATGTGTTAGTGGAAGAGCTCCGAAACCGAGGCCGAGGCCGAGACCGCGGAAATAAATTCAAACCGCCACTAATTCAAAGACTTTATAAGCATTTAGAATAACTGGGGTTCTCTTTAAAATTCCATTTTACGACTAAACACCATGTCGTATAGATCCGTAAGTGCGTCAGAGGGATCTACGAATGATTCTGATACTCTCGTTCAATCATCGCAGGTTGGAGACGATGTTGAAAGCGGAAGCATGGCCCCGCCTGTTGGCGAACAGGGCCAGTCGGACGGTCTTGCAGAGCATGGCGACGAACAAGGTCAAAATGTATGGCAGAAATTGAAGGGGTTCTACGAGAGGAACATTGGTCTATTCTTCGTGTTCCTCGCCCAAGTTTTCGCGTCGCTGGTACGTTAAATAGTCTCACTCAATGTCAACTATAGGTATTAACGACGGAATAGATGACAATGACAACACGGCTGCTCGAGACGGGCTTCGAGACGAAGTTCCACGCCTTGCAGATCATCTTCGTGCGCATGCTTGCGACGGCGATATTGGGTTCTCTGTACATGTGGTACAAGAAAGTCCCCGACTTTCCGCTTGGCCGTCGTGATATTCGGGGCCTCCTGGTGTTGCGGGGGCTGACTGGCTTCACGGGCCTTTTCTGTTCTTACTGTAAATTTGATCTATCTCTATATGCACTTGGATGAAACGACTGGAGCTGATATCTGTTACAAGACTCGCTCTCGTATTTGAACATATCAGACGCCACGGTGATTTCCTTCCTGGTACCAACTATGACTGCCTTCATATGTTTCATAGCTTTAAGAGTAAGTATAGCGAGTATAGCGAGCACCCGAAGCTATATTTGAAGCAGATATTGTTCTAACCCGTCAGGAACCTTTTACGGTGAAAGAGGCCATAGCAGGTTTGATTGCATTCGCTGGCGTGCTCTTTATCGCCCGACCGACGTTTCTCTTTCCGCAGCATCGATCACACGAGCCGGAGATCAACGGGACGAGCTTATTTATGGTAGACCAGCCAAAGGGCATAGTCCCCTCTGTGCCTGCAACACCGGCTGAACGCTCTATCGCCGCGCTCTTGGCCGTCATCGGCACGTTTGGCGCTGCTGCCGCGTACTCCACGATTCGAGTTATCGGGAAGCGTGCACACTCGCTCGTGAGCGTCAACTACTTCGCTGTTCTTGCGACCGTCGGGTCGTTCGCTATTATCCTTATTGTTCCGGACTTGCACTTTGAGATTCCTCAGAATGTCACGCAATGGTACACTACGCCTTTCGTTGTTTGTTTTACTAGGTACCTAGTTATGGCTAATATATTTGTAGGACTTTACTGGTAGCTATAGGCATAGCGGGATTCTTGCTACAGTTCCTCCTGACAGAGGGTCTGCAGAGGGAGAAGGCGGGTAGAGCGACGAATCTCATAGTAAGTCATTATTACCCAAACGCATGTGAGGTCTGAAACTAAATAGGGGTCCTAGTATACGCAAATGGTTTTCGCGCTCATCCTCGAGAGAGTGGTCTGGGGCACAACACCTCCCGTCGAAAGTCTCTTTGGTAGTGCCTTGATTATCGGGTCTGCGATATGGGTTAGTCTACAGAAAAGTAGAACGGCCACCAAGCAGAAAGCTCCGGTCGTCGATGAAGAGCGGAGCCTTTTAGGGGCTGATGCTCCTATAGAGAGTCGTGAGGACTAACGTTTCAACGAAGCAACGTTCTGTTCGATTTGGTCCTATTATAATTGTGTAGGTAGGCCTTAATAAAGTACCACTCCAACGCGATATCTCGTACCTTTAGCCCATTGAGTTTCATAAAATATTACGTGTTTGTATAACAATGACCATGATGTCCTATGTGATTGGCAGACATCTCGTATACAATATGGGGAGTATCCATCTCCGCTGCTCGGTCCGTAATATTAGCTGGTAACTGCCAGGTCGTCGGCGCTAGCTTGTACGGCGTATGCTGCGAATACCCAACTGGCGGTTTAAATTTCCTAGCATCTACAACGTTCACGGTATTGTGGACGGTCGACTTGTATTTAACTAGGGACAAACCACATAGCGAAAACCCTTTACCATGTTTCCTATATCTCCATATAATGAAGCTTACGAAACTCAGCAACATTAATCCAACTACTCCACCAACAGTTGCGCCAGCGATTACGCCAGCCATGAAACCGTGTCCTGGCGCTGGTTTACTGTAGGTTAAAACGCCAGAGGATGTATTGCTATTCGGCTCCGGGAGCGGTGTCCACCGTCCATTCCAAGATGTGACCCAGTCGTTCTTACTGACCTCTAACGTCCGGCAATTACTGTCCATGGCCATTACGTTCTCGCTATTGAGATTAGGCCCAGGTGCTTGCGATAGGAAGCATACCGCTGTTTGTAAGTTTGCGCCGAAGAAGGCATCTTGTAAGAACGCGCGGCCGAGGGCATATCGGCCGTTCGACGCTGTGTTGCAGGGGAAATAGGGGGTTGGCTTGTCGACGAGGGGTTGGTCGAGGGTTAGGTTTAGGTGTGTGAATAGAGTCCCAGCAAGTAGACTCGTATTGATGGCACCGGCCATCTGCCCTGGCGTTATAAGGAATGTATGGTTGATGACTGTACATCGTGTATTAGCGAAACGCTATAAAAACTTGACGAAACCTCTCCTTTAGAATTGGTAACCAAGGTGTATCAGTTGATGATGGTATCGTACTCACTACTAGGTGCAGCACCGAGGCCAAGACACCCCGCGAATAAGGGATACTCGTTCCCATTGGGATATCGAAGCCGCGTATCACTCATAAGAGCCATAGCAAAGTTATCAACGCTAACTATGCTACAATAGCTCGAATTCGGTCCCAGAGAAACACGGTTGGTGTACCGCTTTGCATTAGCCCCTACAGCATCCATGTCCGACGCGTAGTATGCGCTGGCGCCGAGAGATATTTTCGGTGCGTCTCCGGTGCCTGCTGACTCGTTGTAGATAGCGCTAGATTGTTGTGCGTAGCATGGTTGACCTGTGGCTGTGGTTTTTCCGCAGTAAGTTGCGCCGGGGAAATATGATTCCCACATCCTCCCGGCGTATACGGTGACATTTTGCCCGCTTCCCAGTGTTACTTCTACTGCATTCTAAGGCCCGTTCAGCCCGAGCGTCTTATTCGACCACCGCATCGGTCTAGGTACCGTCATCGGATCGCTTTGCTAACGACGAGGTCGCCGAGCTAATAGTTGTCGGTATGATTCTTTCACTGGCATCTCCTGGTCACTTGAACTTTGGGGTTAGATGCTAAGGTTCTATTGAGGAAATTTCTGAAGGTGATAAAGAAATATTAGTCTAATTTCACCTTCCGCTGCATTAAATCCTGTATTACAATATAGGAGCTCCGTAGTTCGCTAGATCTTAAGGCTCAGCTAAATATGGTAGGAGTTGCACCAACTAAGTAGCCAAGTCAAGTCTTGAAGAGCGTGGGTTAAAGGGTAACACATATCGTTCTCCTATTCCTAATGTCACAGAGTATCATGCATGATTTGTCCTTGGTATTTATAATGCACCCCGACGCGCTCCTCAGTTTGACCTCTGGAGCCATATCATAGCATTATACTAAGCGTATATGAATTAAGGAGTTGTGTAGTCTAGTCATCTCAGTGAACTAGTTCAAGCAGACTAATCATATATAAAGTGTATATAATTCAGGTTAAGCTGTAGCTGTGCAGGTAGGGAGGTTTCATATTTTCGGTAGACATGGTTGCGCTACCGCCCCCCACGATCTACCCTTGAAACCATGAAGGATCATCACGACGCTGAGCGCATCTCAAGTTTATAGCCGCAATTGGCTTATATATCTCATGTAAGTTCCTGTATTTTTAGCGAAGTCGAATTTCAATTTCCAATGTACTCTCCTGGGCTTCACATTTCTATGCGGGGGGTTTTGTTGAGTAGCACTGGAGGAACATCATGAAATGATAGGTCACATATATACCCCTTAATAATTCGGGCCACCCTAGAAATCTCGTGGAATAGAGTCGAAGAAATACAAGTTTACTGCCTTAAAGCTCTAAAGAACGCTCTTATTTTGTTCCCATTTGCTAAGGATGCTTGAATGTGATGAAATCGCATGGTGGCAGGTTATGTGGGGGCTTAACAACATTGCGAGAACGAAATTGCTACATGATATAAACCTTTTCCCGGGTAGCAACGGGGATTTTAATGAAGATTAAAAGAGGTTTGTCGTATGCTTCAACCCATCTTAGCTTGTGAACCCCTTTGTGGGATTCGTTTTAAGCCTCCACCAATGTCCGCTCAAAGGAGGGGACATCTCTGTAACTGGATATCCGATAATAGGATCCAAACATTATGCGGTGCTACTAGATAGCTGCAGCCAACCGCCTACACATATAGATTTAGTTCGCCTGATATTTATGCAGGATATTGTAGATCTCAGCGGTAAGATGCGGCTCGACGTCAGTTGATAGTTTTGAGGGGAAACGCATCGGTGCCCTATGTAGACAAGTTTAAAGTATGTTGCTGCCACCAGAAGAAAATCGTAGCAAGAACCTGAAGTTACCATTGAAGTTTTCGAACTTTGATATTCACATAAAAATGGCAGCGACCGAGTCATCCTATTCGACGCCTAAGTGATGGAAAGAAGCCGGTGTGTTAATCGAACTCTCTGACCCCCGAATACCTTGTGTCTGCTGCTCAAATCAATGCTATATTGTAGAAGTATAATGCTAGTGAATGAAAACTGACCCATGATACCCTAGTGGTTTACCAGATATATCCCGCAAGCTTCCAGTGTCAGGTAGGTGCACCTTGAGGCCATCCTATCAGAATAGTATTAATTATGTATAATCCGATGTGGAAAGCCTGGATTGACTTCAGGATGGGGCACCGTAAAGGGTATTACTTCGCGGCTGGACTATCTGAAGTCCCTGGGCATTGATGTGGTCTGGTCGTCACCTATCCTTAAATCTCCACAGGCAGATATGGGCTACGATATTACCGACTACAAGCAGCTCGACGAGCGATATGGGACTCTGGAGGACATTGACGAGTTAATTGCCGAGCTTAAGAAGCGTGACATGAAACTAATGATGGACCTTGTAGTGAATCATACCAGTAATGAGCATCCGTGGTTTCTCGAGAGCCGCGCAGGCATCGATAGTCCAAAGCGCAGCTGGTACATATGGCAGAAGCCGAAGAGCATTGGCCCTGATGGCGTACCAGAGCCGCCAAACAACTGGGCGCAGATTCTAGGGGAGGCCAATTCCGCCTGGACATATGACGAGAAAACCGGCGAATTTTACTTAAGTCTTTTCACGCCGGAGCAGCCAGACTTGAATTGGGAAAACCCTGACGTGCGGGCTGCTGTTTGGGATGTAATGCATTTTTGGAGTGCGTAGTATATTCATTTGCCCCTTTTCATATCTGCTTTAATATCAGAGCCTGTACAATGCTAACCCTACTGCAATGACTCGAGGTGCATCTGGTTTCCGAATGGACGTTATCAATCTAATATCCAAAGTGCCTGGTTTTCCTGATGCAGATATAGTATTGGACCCTGGGCACAGGTACCAACCTGGGTCTAAATACTTCGTTAATGGACCGAGGCTACACGAATTCCTACGAGAGATGTACCGGGAGGTGCTGAGTAAGTACGACACGATTACGGTCGGCGAAATGCCCGGAGTCGGCGGCGAGAAGGAAGTCCTTCGGAGCGTCGGTGCCAATTCTGAGGAGTTGAGGATGATCTTCATCTTTGATCTAGTTGATATCGACAAGCCGAACGTTAGAATGGCCCTTAAGCCATGGGATGTCAAAGAGATGAAGTCGATTATCACGAGGTGGCAGCGTGTTATGATAGAGAACGACGGCTGGCACTCGGTGTTCATTGAAAACCACGACAATCCCAGATCAGTCTCACGATATACCGATGACAGTGATGAGTGGCGAGAAAAGGGGGCTAAGCTCCTTGCCCTAATGCAGACCACTCTCGGGGGTACACTTTTTGTCTACCAGGGCGAGGAGATTGGTATCCGCAACGCCCCTACGACCTGGGACATCTCTGAGTTTAAGGACATCGAGACCATCAACTACTGGAAGAAATGCGAAAAGCTGTATGCGGGCGACAAGGAGAAACTCGCCTACGGCCGCAAGGTAATCGACATGAAAGCGCGCGACCATGCGAGAACGCCTATGCAGTGGACCTCAGGGGAGAACGCAGGATTCTGCGACCCGGGTACTAAGCCGTGGATGCGAGTCATGGACGATTACCAAAAGGTAAACGTCGAGATTCAAATCAAAGCAGACGACCCCAATGTGTTTTCCGTCTGGCAGTTCTGGCAATGGGCTCTCAAACAGAGAAGAGATCACGCAGACGCTTTCGTGTACGGAGACTTCCAAGAGCTGTCGCCCGAACACCCGGAGGTCTTTGCATATGTTCGTGCAAGTGTTAAGGGGGGTCGCTGGCTCGTCATTCTCAACTTTTCCAAGAAAGAGCTTGAGTGGATGCTACCATCAGAGTTCGAGGTTGAGTCTTGGACTACGGGTAATTATAGGAAAGGTGCTCCTGAGAAACCGAAGCAGTCGGGTGTGTCTTTGAAGCCTTGGGAGGGCGTATTGGGGAAGCTCAAATAGCCCCTTAAGCCATAAAGCGAGGGGATACAATAGCTCGCGAATTAGGAAGGGTCGAGACATAATCGGTTACCTTTGGGAGATAGTATATTAGAGTTATCTCGGTAATTGCCTTGGTTAAGTGTCAGTTCAGCCTATAACGTTCCTTGTGCTTTGTAACAACTAAAGTAAAGGAGTAGTTGCATTCACTTATCTACATAGTAGCATGATAACAACCACCAAAAAGGTTATAACTTAAAATAATTCCCGTAATCTTCAACAAGTTTCCGGAAGCTTAGAAGTTGGTCGAGTGGTTACGGCTGCTCTTTACGTAGGTTGTCGACCCCTGGCATGTGTAGGAAGGAAGGGGCATGGTCAGGGGTCTGCTGTGCACGACAGTACGCTTGGATCTGCTATTACTTCCTGTCATCGGGGCCTACTGAAAACTTTGCGCAGCCGAAAGTTCGATGCTGACGAGTGTTGAGCTTTTACGCTGTATTTTTTTTTGGTCTCTTCCCTACATGTACCCCTCTCCTTTGTTTTCGAGATTCCTTATAGAGAGTTCGATTTTTAAACATACGTAAGTTAAATCAATTGGCTCATTAGATTTGAACTTGCTAGTGTAACCCTTTGTTTGAACCTTTGAATTCGAAGCTGAGCTAAACTAGAGTATACAATTGGACCAAGTTAGGGCGGACCTGTTGTGTCACTCCTATTATGTCACAACAACTATTACCCATTCATCAAATGAGTGAAGTGCTTATTTCCGAGTACAGTTATATATTTCGACACATGTCATTTAATATTATAAGATATAGCTAAGCATTAATACAGGCGAAACTTGAGACTTGGATAATTATTTGACCTAATGTTTTACTTCACATAACCCGTAACTAGTTAATCTTCATTATTGAACTATGGATGGCTTGGAAAAAGCTCCCATACACTGACAAGACATGGGTTAAGCTGGAAGACAGTATATTAACTAGTTGGAGTTACTATAGTTTTCACAATTAGTGCTGAGGAAGCGCTGTGTCACCATCCTCTAAGCTCCTAAAATGGGTTCACTGCATCTAGTCGTCTAGACTAGCCTTGGTAGGGTCCCAGGCAATAGGGGCAAATACGTCCGTGTTCAACTTCTCAACGTCCTCCTGGGATAAGTCAAAGTCGTAGATTGCGGCGTTCTCGATGATTCGGGAAGTTGTAACGCTCTTGGGGAGCGGGAGATAGCCCTTCTGTAAGCTCCATCGAATCAAGATCTGAGCTTGAGTCTTGCCGTATTTCTCGGCGAGACTAACCAGAGTCGGGTCGCCGAATCGTTCACCTCTGACAACGGGACAGTAGGCCTCGACGGCAATGTTGCGCTTCTTAGACCACTCGGCGATATCCTCGCGACGGCACCATGGGTGAATCTCCCACTGGCCGACTGAGATGACACCTCCTTTGCCCTTACCACCTCGTTCGGCTTCAAGCTCTGCAATGTGCTTTTCTAATTCGTCGAGATGTTGGACACCATAGTTACTGACGCCAATAGATCGGACTATAAACTGTCAGTAAGCCACACCAACAATATTCCCAAAGGCAAAAGGCGACAAGAGAATAAACATACCCTTGCCCTCCTCAACAGCTTCCACGAGCGCTTTCCAAACTCCCTTTCGGGCCCCTGAGCCACCGTATGGCGCATGGATGAGTATGAGATCGATGTAGTCCAGGCCCGCAGTTTTCAGACTCTTGTCGACTTGTGCCTTAGTGGCATCGTATGACATTAGAGTTGGGGGAATCTTGGATGTGAAATAGATCTCAGACCGCGGTAGTCCGCTGGCCTTGATGGCTTTGCCACACCCTTCTTCGTTCTTGTAAAAGACGGCCGAGTCGATGTGGCGGTAGCCGGCTTTAAGCGCATCGGCAACGGCCCTCTCAGTTTCCTCTGGCGGACTGGAAGTAGGTGGTTAGATTAGACAGGTTAGGTATCTAGATAACACTGAACTCACGTTAAGTATACCTAAGAGGTGTTAACTAGACCGCCTATAGTAATGTGAGTTTATAGAATATAAAGCACTTACACCGAAACCCAATAGGGGGATTTCATGGCCGCTGTTTAGCTTGAAAGTGGAATTGATGGTGTAAGAGGTCGCCATGTTTCTGCTAGGGGCGTAGCTGGTTAGCTTGATGTGGGGATGCCTGACTAAGGCCACGGCCGCGGGATGATAACATAGTCGAGGCCGGAAGCTTGTTTTAAGCAGGGCAGAATAAAAGTTCATCCGGTGTAAACTCATGGCCGAGGTATAGTATAAATGTGCTGGGAAGAAAATGAGTACTTGCCTAACTTTCTTCACCTGGGAAGAATACCGCTACTATTTTATTTTGGTTATAGGAGGTTATAACCAGAGAGGACAGTCTCAACTCAGGCTGATCGATGGAAAACTCTGGGATGGAAAAGGGGAGAGATCAGTTTGAAGGAAAAGCTCCAAGACCAGAGACTAAATAATGGGCATCTATTTATACGTAGTGCATCAGTAGTCGCTACTAATTGATTATCAAGCGAGCCATACACTATTTAGGACCGAAGAGTCATCACCTTGGTCGGCTTTTGCTTAGCTATCTCCGCTGTCTCCTCGACGAAGAATATTTACTAATATATCACATATCACCTTTCTCCTCGGGCATGTTGTAGAGTAAGGTAAGGTAGCGTCGACGGAGATAGTGGCCGCATTTAATTGAGGTCATACTTAAATCCTAGCTGTTGCGATATTCAGCTTAGAAGCTACGGAAATTCTAGCGAATGATACTATCGGATCTAACGAGAACTGCCGGAAGGAGTGCCGTACGTATCAGGTATCTCCCTGCGGTAAAGATGTCCTCTGCTTGACTGCTATGTCCCACAGGGTTCCCGGGCGCGCGGCTTTGCTTGGAAATGCTAATGTTCACGATATAACCTAAGGTAGCATGGTCGAGTATTTTACGTAAAAAAGAAACCCCGCTGCATTATAGAGACTTTGCTGTTAAAGATTGAAGGGCAATTCTATTTGGCGGCTATAATACCATATTACGTAACATAGTATGTAGGTGTAGGTACATAACTAGTACAGATATAGTGGTATACATCAACTTCTGATTTATATTGACGTCATTAGCCCTTCATAGCTTTTTATGCAGTACATGATGGCTACCTTAGGTAGTCTTGCTACTACATATTAACTTTTATAGGCGGGGTGTTGTTATCTAGGTACAGCTTAATAACTACTATCGCGTAGCGGGTATGGACTAATGGTGGGGTGAGGTGAGGGGCATTTCTTTCAATACATAGTCCCGCCAAGTTATGATGAAAGCTTCATTATACAACCGTTGTTAATTAGAACAATCGCTGTGTGCACATTAACAATCATTTGCACGTCCTATCCATTACACGTTTAAACCTATTTACAATTCAGGCGTCAAATCTTAAATCCAAAATATCTATAACTATTCATTTAGCTTTGTTATCTATTTTGTACACTCCCTCAAGTGGTGCGCTCATATATCTTAAAAGATAATATAGTGGAGATTTATACCGATAAATAAACCGCCAGCTATGCAGCTTGTTGGATCCAAGGCGTCGCAAGGCCTAGATGAGATAGGCGAGGGGAGCGTCACTTTGATCCCCGTAGAGCCAGAAGACATGGTAAGTCTGCACCCCAATCAAATGATATGCAATCTAACAGGCCAAGTGGCACGCAAACAATCTAATAGGACCCCAAGATGTCGTCAAGGCGCATGCGATCCGAAAAGTGACGACAGAAACGAAGACCGGAAGTACAATATCAGAGAGGGTACATACCGATCTTACAATACGAGTCACTTCAACCTTCTTCGACCCAGGCGCGTCGCAATTACATGTATCAGGCACTGTGATCGTCGAGAACAACTTTGTCAGCCTCGGACAGTACCACACGCTTGACCTCGAACTGAACCGGCCCTTCACCTTATGGAAAAACTACGGCTGGGATTCGGTAGCAAAAGAAACGCTAACAGATGCGCTGAAACAGGACAAGGAGGGTGCCGTGGCGGCTGTTGTGATGCAGGAGGGTATCGCGAATATCTGCCTAATCACCGAATACCGTACCATACTTAAACAAAGGGTAGATAGCACGATACCTAAGAAGAGATCGAGCAGTTCAGAACAGGACTCGGGAATGAAGCGATTCTTCGAAAAGACCTTGAGCACCTTAATGCGCAGCATAGATTTCTCGGTCCCTCGACCGCTACTACTTGCCAGTCCCGGGTTTGTCGCGGGAGATTTTAAAAAGTACATATCGGATGAAGGTGCCCGAAGGACTGACAAAACAATGATGGCTATGGCCAAAGAGGCGACGGTAGTACATTCAAGTTCTGGGCACCTACACAGTCTGAACGAAATACTCAAAAGCTCCGAGGTCACGGCAACTATGAAGAATATGAAATTCTCTAAGGAGACAAGAATCATGGACGATTTCTTTGACAAGTTACGAAAGGACGATGGCCGAGCCTGGTACGGTACGGCACCGGTTGAGAAGGCCGTCCGGGAAGGTGCCGTTGGTAGAGGAGGTGGTGTCTTGTTGATCAATAATTCGTTATTCCGAAGTATGGATATCGCGACAAGGAGAAGATATGTGGCCATGGTTGATAAGGTAAAAGAAGACGGAGGAGAGGCCAGGATACTTAGCAGTGACCACGAGAGCGGGCAACGATTAGATGCCTTAGGAGGCATCGCTGCTATACTTACATATCCTATGCTAGATCTAGACGAAGACGACGAAACAGGTGCCGATGGAAATGCTGAGACGGAGGAGAACATGATAATATGAATTCTTCTACCATCCTCCCTAATTGAATTGGCACTTGAAGCAATATTTTGCTAAGTTTGTTACGTTAATTATTTAATTATTGTCTTCTAGACGGGACCTCGTCATGTAGCTCGATTAAACAATTAAGTGGACACCTAAATATAGAAATTAGATATTACGTGAATTTGGTTGGAGGCATAACATGTAATGACGCACATAAGTCTCGAATTGAGAAGATGGCGCTAAAAGTACAAAGAAAAGAGGACTCTACGTCATTATGCGCCGTTTCCTTTCAGTTCTAAACGCCTTATTATAATAGCCCGTTTGACTAGGATAAGTTACACTGGTTACGCTGGTTACACTAACAGGTAGACTGACCAAGTTGGTAAGGCAGATACGGTGTTCAGCTCAAGAGGAAATACGGAACTCTTATTAACTTGCAATTTCCGTTTCGGTCGAAGCTAGGTACATACCTTAATGTAACGCACTCTTCCCAACTCGCGCCACTCGCGGGATTGCATCCTTCTGGCCTGACAAGATAGCCTTAAATCACTCTACCATACCATACATATATACGCAATTGTAATAGTTATAATATTTCCACTACTTATTACTTATGATTCACTAGACTAGCTAGTCGGGATGGCTACTATTCCCATGTGCTCGAACGTATATTTGACTCTTATTTACGATTAAGACATTTGAGCACTGAAATCTTTAAGGCATTCCTTTGACTACGGATGTGACGGAGCAAAACATGACAAGACAGACTACGCGCTACGATATCTTACAGCAAACTAGAAACCGCTGATCGCGAAATATTATCTGAGCGAACCGTCTATTTTACGACTATATATTATATACGTACGCGACGAGAGCGCCATTGCGCCCAAGCGAACGACCAAATCGGGACCCTATTCCCAGGTGACCGCGGTCGTGGCAAGATAATGGAATATGTCGACCTCTTCACCGGCCACCGAGGTCGCGCGCCCTCACCAAGACGATCTCACCGCTACCCATGTTAATACGAAATCGAACCACAATGGATTGGACTCGCTTCATGATCTGGGGCGGTCGCCTACTATCTCTGATGATCCGAGTATGTTTACGGGTCACCACCTCATACCACCATTTTATTCATTTTATAAATTTCCCAGCAATCCCACCTTGGAGGCTGTTTTGCTAACACTTCGCCCTAAACAAGGTACCAGCACACTGCTTAAAGGTTCTGGGAAGAGAGGCACAAATAAACTTGCGCGAAAGGATACGGGAGGGAAGGATATAAAAGATAGAAAGGACGCAGATCCCGGGGTGCGGACCAGCGCGCAACTCACAACCTCGCCGGCACTCGATCCATTATCTCACGTATGTTTTATGTCCTAGTTTCCCGGCCAATGGGGGCTGATTCGTTTATCCTAGCATATATTTGCAAGGACTAATACCGAACGATCTATCGCCTCAAGGTTTCGCAACCCCGGACGGCCTGATAGTCCTGCTAATGAGGCGCTACCTCGTCTTTCGTCCGATGTGTCTACCAAACAAGTGACCCCTCAGCTCGATCACGTTAAGGATAGAAGGTATGTTTATAAGACTAGCTAGGCGAAGAGTTTATCATGGGCTAACAAGCTCCTTGAAAACAGGAAGGGGGGTTTCCTTAGTCGCCTTAGCATGATCGGCGGCAAGAAGAAAGACGATGGTATTCACGACGATGAATCCGAAATCAGCGAAATGAGGACTGAGGGCGCGAATGCCGTTGCTTTTTCTTCTACTGTTGGCGCCGGTGGTTATATCCCCCACCACAAAGAGCCACCGCGATATATCAGGATTAGAGCACAGAATAAGAAAATTAAAGAGTTCAACCGCATGTTTCTTGCGCAGGAGCTTGTGGGGACGCAACAGTCGATCCAGGATGACCAGGCAGACACCGATAACGGAACCGCAGCAGTACAGGAGCCTAGAAAGGATGAACCAGGACCAGGAGGTCCTATCTGGGCTGTTGAGTTTAGCAAAGATGGAAAATACCTAGCCACCGGAGGTCGAGACCGGGTTGTGCGCATATGGGCAGTTATCGCAACACAGGAAGACAGGAAAGTGGACGAAGAGGAAGAAAATGCTACCAGCGAGAAAGAGGAGCGCCTAAGCGCACCGGTATTCCACGCGAAACCAATTCGGGAATTTGTTGGCCATGCGGGCGACATCCTCGATCTTAGTTGGAGCAAGAACAACTTCCTCCTCTCTTCGTCGATGGATAAGACCGTTCGCCTATGGCATATAAGCAGACAGGAATGCTTGTGCACGTTCAAACATAAGGACTTCGTTACATCTATAGCCTTCCATCCTCGGGACGACAGATTCTTCCTAGCAGGTTCTCTTGACTCTTACCTGCGGTTGTGGAGTATTCCAGATAAGGCTGTCGCTTATTCAAGCCAGCTCTCCGATTTCATTACCGCCGTTGCATTTTCCCCCGACGGAAGAACTGCGATAGCAGGGTGCTCGAACGGATTTTGTATGTTTTATGAGACCGAGGGTCTCAAATATCATACACAGATTCACGTGCGGTCATCACGAGGCAAAAATGCCAAAGGGAGTAAGATCACGGGTATTGAAACAATGGCATTCCCTCCGGACGCCCCAGACGGTGTGGTGAAAGTTCTCATCACATCAAATGATTCCCGAATCAGGATCTACAATATGGGCGACAAGAATCTTGATTTGAAGCTCAAGGGACACACAAATGCGTGTAGCCAGATCAGAGCCACGTTCAGCGACGAGGGCAATTACATCATATGTGGAAGCGAGGATAAGAGAGCGTTCGTATGGTCTACCAGCTCAAAATTTGCCGAGAATAAGGAAAAGAGGCCTTGCGAATACTTCGAGGCCCATTCTGACGTTGTCACTGGAGCCATATTTGCTCCGACAGCGACACGACAATTACTGCAATCTTCTGGCGATCCTATATTTACGCTATGTAATCCTCCTCCAGTAACATTGCTTAGCAAAGAGGAATCGGCTGTGACTCGGACGGTAGAATCTCAAGATACGCAGTCTGAAGGCTCAGCCAAAATAAAAAAGCCTGAAGAGTCTCCGGTGTATATCGCACGCTCCGCTCACTATGATGGTAATATCGTCGTAACTACTGATCACGCAGGTCTAATCAAGGTCTTCCGCCAAGATTGCGCCTTCATCAAGCGACGCCATGATAATTGGGAGACTGGTTCGACGTTCTCTAGGAAACTCGGAAGAGATAGCTTGCTCGGACGAAGTGGCAGCATAGCCACGCGAATGAGTGCTAGTAGCCGAGATCCGCATTCTCGCCGAGGTTCACTCACGCAACCGCTCCAGGGTATATTCCAGGCCAACTCGGATAGAATCAATACATGGCGACATGGCGTCGAAGGACATCCGGGTAGGCCGGTCTCCGTAACCATCTCAACCCCTGCGCGTAGCGAACGGTCCTTATCGCCAAGTAAAGCGGCTCGTACTCCCGCAAATACCACTCCAAATACAAGAAGACATCATTACGCAAGTATGTCGGTTCCTAGTGTGCCAGCAAGCCCTTCTCCTAGTAAACCAATAAATGGTATCACCAACCGTTCAAATTTACAAGACTCACTAATACCACCAACACCGAGCTTCTCATTCCGGCCACTGGACGAGGAAGAAGACGAATTGCGTTTAGACCCTGCCGGCGCAAGCTATTCGTTCTGGAATCTTAACAGATGGCGAAACAGCAGCCAAGCGCGAGGCAATGGCATTCACGGCTTAACCCCTGATTCGGCGCATAACCGTTCTGAAAGCACCGGCCTAGCCTCTGACGTAACGGTGAGCAAGGATAATCGACGAAAGAGCACAGCCATGGATACGGAAGAGCCCGATAAAAAGGACGCGTCCGAAAAAGCTACTCGCCGCAAGAGTTTGCCGGCGGGGGCGATATTGTCACGGGCGCAGGAAGGTAGCCATCTGACTCCTCCCAAGCCCGCCGCTTCTCGACCTGATTCGTACATCAGCCAAGTGAGCTCAGAATTAACCAGCGAGGACGGCGAGGACATGCAGTGTCGCGCATGCGGTAGTCGAGAGTTCAGGATGAAGAAAATCGGGGGCAAGAAGAAGCTATTGTGCGGGAAATGTGGCCGGGCGGTTTGATTTCCGCGTCACTCTTACCACGGCTAGACGATGATGTACAGATATATATGAGGTGACTATGTTAAAACTATTACGCGGCTGTACGAAGAAGAACGGGTTTAGGAATGATTGGTTGGTTACATATACACATGGCAATGCATGTTGGTACTTTTCTATCAAGGAAGTTTTTGAGTTGCTAAAGAGAACTTTGGGCATTAGTATTGTGATAACTATTGATCATGAATACTGCTCTTTGATATATATATTCAATTCATGAAGTGTCTCATTCCACTGGAAACGTATTTGTTTCTGACGTGTTTCTGTTTTGTTTCTTTTTGAATTTGACCTTGACTTGTATGATCCTCACTCTAGCAGTGCAGTTTCAGCTATTCATCTTTTAAGTACCCAAATCACCACGTCTCCATTGGCCTAGTTAATATTACTTTCTCATAACCTACTATTATAAGCCAACACGGGACAACTTGCCCAGCACCAACAAACATTCATTCTACCATATTTAACATACCTTAGGTAGTCATTCATACAGACGCCTTCAAGGTATCATCACATAACGATTGCAATATTTGTAACTTCCATTGACTTTAGAATGTGCCCAACGTTCATTACTCAACTATCCATATAGTCAGAACAAAGGAAAACTTAATATTCAAAAGTAATTAAGACAAGGACAGGTATCATCATCGCCAACCAAGGCTCTTCCCTAGCAACTTTTTAATAAAAAAGTGAAGCAAACTGAGTCCTGGGGGTATCTCCGGGTATCTCCGCATCTGGAACTTCCTAATTACGACCTTGTTGTTCCTTCATTCCCATCTCCACCATATCGTACAAGATGTATCCAAGAGGAGTGACTATTACACTTCATACTCTCTAGATCGTAATAGTGTTGCCACTTACGGCAGGAGCAGTAGTGCTCACGGGGCCGGTGGTGGAGATGGGCCCAGTAACGGGATTAGAGTACTTTCCGTCTATAGTTCTTCCATTTGTGTGGTTACCGTTGGCGTGGTTACCGTTAGTATAGTTTCCATTGGTATGATTTCCGTTTGTGGCATTGCCACTGGCAGCGTGCGGCTTGCGGGTAACTTGAGGAGCACCGGGAAGGTTGGTACTCTTGGAGGCTGCGCCTATGGAGAATACGGGACTCTCCCAAAGCTCACCCTTTCGGGCCAGCTCCTTATACTCGGTGGCTTTAGAGCTGATACCGCCGGGTAGATGAATGTTGGGGAAAATACTATCCTCTTGAGTGACAGCCATGTTGACCTTCTTGTCGGCCGCAATGGCCTCTGCCTTCTTTTTACCTTGGAAGAATTGCTTCTGAACGGCATTGACGTATCGGTTATAGATGTTCGGAGCGTTTTCGGGGTCGGAGCGAGCCTCGTCGACCGCACGATCTGCTTCCTGCTTGACCTGATATAGCAGCTGATCAAATTTGTTGAACTGATCTTTGAGCTGCTTCTCGGCGGTCTTCTGGATCACTGGGCGGAGGACCTTAAGCATTATGGGCTTGAAAAGACCGAAGAGGATCTTGTGGCTGGACTTGACAAGCTTGATCTGAAGGTTCTTAACATCGACATCAACCTTGTCGAGCTTCAAGAAGTGTTGACTGTCCTTATCATCTGCAGTAGACAATTTCAAGCGGAAGCAGAACCCATCGCCACCCATTTTGATGTTGGCAACGCCAGTGTCGGTAATTGAGGGGAAGCCTTGCTTGCGCTTAACGTAGAAGCTGACATCGCGCAGATCCATCTGGATGCCAGTGACTTTAACGTCGATCGAGTTTTTGTTTGTGCTCGCAATCTTCTTGCGACCCCAGCGGAAGTAGTTGTCGCTAGCGACTTCGAGGACGTTAGGCATGAAGTTGTCACTCTCCAGAACGAGATTCTCCACGACAGCATCGATCTCACTATCGGAATACTCAATCCGAGGAATGGGAATGTATGCAATTCTCTCAAAGGCAGCCGGGATGATAACATCGGTCAGGTCTTTGATCAAGTGAGGCTTGAAAGTTGGCTTGCCATTCTCATCGTTGCCAAGGTTGTTGAAAAACTTTTGTACCGAAGCCGCGAAGGCCTTGTTCTGATAGTCCTGATCGAACTGATCCGCCAAAAACTTGATCTCGTCAACAATGCGATCAGTGTGAGTCTTGTACTTCTCGCGGAGGAGATAGTTCCCGTGATCATGGAGACGGCGCCACTCCTCGTTAGAAGCATCTTCCATAATGTAACCTTGCTGCTGGAGACACTTGCGGATGTAAGCGTCCATAGACTTGAACCAATTTTTGAGTTCGGGATCCCTATCAGCATCCCCATAGATAGTGTTGATAGAAGACCAGAGATCATCAGTAGACGTTCCGTTGGCGAATCTCTCAATTAAGGTCTAGCACGGAGTTAGCTTCATTTCATCTTTTAAGAGTAAGCGTTACATACCTTCAAGTCGGCTTCAGCAGCAGCCAGGTGAGTTCGCGCGTTCTTGACAGTACCGGTACCTCCGGTAGCAAGGCTCCTGCCATGGGTGCCATACTGCTCAGCCAAATCTAGCAGCGTAGAAATGGCTTGCTGGTAGTCAGGGTGTTGTTGGCATTCGATGACCAATTTCTATTCATCTTTTTGTTAGTATCAGTAATCATGTTTGACGTGGAGGGTTGCTTACCTTCAGACGCCAGATGGTCTGATCACGACGCTCTTCGGGCATCTTCTTCGACAGATACTGTCTAGCGCGAGCACGATACTCTTGAGCTGTCAGCTTCGTAGATTCGCGGGTCTCCGGATCGATGTTAGACTTGGTTTGCTCTGCAGCCCTGCTTGTCGCATTTTGTGCGGCATTGATACGATCACCTGCCGACCCGTCCGGCTGTCGAACAGCTCCAGCTCCGGCGTTCGCGACGCCCCTGGCATCCTGTGTTGGGTCGCTCTTGTAAATATTCTGGAACTGAGACCTCACATTTTCCCTGGAGAAATTAGGAGCATCATGCCAGACGTTGTCCGCAGCAGGTCGATCGATCTGAGAGAGGTCCTCGCCGGCAGGCCGCACCTTGTTCGCAGCATTAGTAGCGGCATCGCCAGCAATGTCGCGTAGTAGTATGGTAGCATCATTAACTAAGAAACAATTAGCGATTATGTCGATTAACGCGCGGATAGTCAATGATCAACTTACGGAGCTTGCGGAACTGGCCATTGGTGATAATCAATGTTCCTAGAGTCCGAAACCCCTCAAGAACCTTGTCTCCATGTTGTTTCGCCGTATTCTTGTCGATGGGAGCATTGGGTACGCTCACGGCATTGGGGTCAAACTGCTGGGTCTGCCAGATGAAATCCTGTAGTAGATTTCCCTCATTCTTGGATAGTAGCAGCTTCTTAGCTTGAGTCACAACATCCTTCAATTCTGCGACAAGTTCTTGTCCTTCTGGTGAAAGTCTCTTTGAGGGGCTTGCTAACGGCCTAGACTCGAGGAAGCTGTTCAGGGCGATATCTATTTGTTCATTCTGTGACATCTAGTGTAAGCTTTATGTTGTTGAATAGGAGTTCCATATATAAATATATATGAAGCGGCACTTACAGATGGTACTTTGCCAATCTGGAATGCGTTGATGATGCCGTATATCTGAAGCTTTCGGTTGACGTCGGCTTCCTTCTGCTTGATGTCCGTTGGTTTGTTTACGCTTGCCATGATGGCGCCGGGATGTGTAAATAGGGTATATTGATATCACTTCTTACTTGGATGTTCGACGATGGCGCAAAGCAGAGAATCGGTTTGGGTATCACAGTGAGAGTAGGTATGTATATTCGTATATTAGGATAAGTGGGTATAGAGTTTTTATTAGATTGTGAGTTCACAATGTATTCTTTCTTAGGTGAGGAAGAGAGAAGAGAATATTATGAAAGTTGAGGACTGGGAGAGGACAAAGGTGTTTATTATACGTTGACGTAGTTCAAATGTAAGTAATCGTAAAGGTAGACGTAAAGGTAGATGTAATGGTACAATATGTGAGCGCATGCAGCTGACCGAAGAGCTATACTCCTTCCATGGCAGACATAAATCAGTAGGTACATGACTGACTACTGCTCTTTACCGCTAATGCGAAGTACTTTTTTAATGCATTTATCCATATTGGCCGCGCTTGTTCAAGCCCAAAACCTGTACTTGGAGTACTTGGATTATTAGGTGTTGATGACGTGAAACCTAGAGTCGTTTAATCTAGTACGTCATAGTTATCGGGCAAGTGCTCTAGTATCACTAACAAGACCACTAAGTAACTTGCATTAGATAATAACAGTGGAACGCATTCCCTGTGCTGGCCCAAGTTCCCGATGCCATTGGAGCTATCGAGTTAATAAGGAAATGAAATTTTTGGGAAGCTGAAATCGTTAGTTCTAAGTATCTTCGTCATCCTCGAACCGGAAAAGAGCCAAACAACAATACCATGGCTACGATAGTCAACATGTTGTTTCACATGCGCGCAACATTCTTAAAAGAAAGATTACCATGAGGAATACGGGTATTCTCAGTCAAGTCGTAGATCAGTCAAGTCGTAGAATATCAGATCCACCATCTACGGGAATACATCTAATTATCATGCCTATCTCATTGGACTAGGTTAAGAGATACGAGTCCCCAAGATGTTTCAATGCAGGACGTTCCCAACAAGTAATACAAGATGACTCGGGCTCTCTACCTATGTAGGACATGGCCGTCTTGGGAGATTGGCATACGCCACGCGGGTCCGCAATACACGTGTATCACGACTTCAGTGGAGAGAGCTTGTATGCAAATTGATTTTTTTTTTGAAAATCTTCAATTTCCGCATCCGGTTGTCTATGACGTAAAACTAGATGATATCTCTAAGGAACACCAATTTTATAATTGTAAGCTAATGAGCCAGCAAAACTATCAAATTATCCAAGCCCTACGAAAAGGCTTCTCTAGTTTAACCTAGTCATGTCATGTCATGTCATGCCATGTGGAACGACTAAACAAGTTACTGCTTGGTAACTAGTTATGCCTCTATGAGACAATCTGGGGTTGATGTCTGCTCGACCGGATCTCGATTGACGCCTTGGGCAAGTATATTGCAAATTCTACAACACGTCCAACCTGCAAGAACAAGAATAATAACAGGCTAACTGGTATCTTATTTCAATGTCCTGGATCGAGTTAAATTTATTCTCCGGACCATCATCTCCACCGTTTGTGCGTCGTGGTTGAAATTGATGGTTAGGAGGGTTACATTGCAGATCGCCTCACGACAAGCTTCTGCCATCATGACAGCATCTTTACTTTCTCGTTTCCCGATCGATTCGCGCTGGGGTACTCAATTTTTATTTTGCCAAACCTCACCTGTATCACGATAATATACATATGTACACATTATTGAAGTGTGGCGATATCCAATCTCTTCTGGCTGTCTGGTAGAGTTTGAGTGCTCTTTTCGTACACGCAATTGTATTTTCATCCTCCACTCAACTATCAAGCATCTAAAGGCTAGACCACTTCGACTTCCCTAAAGGGAAATATATCCAGGCACATATGCATGCAAGCTAATTCCCATCTATATTCGGTATAGTTACTATCAGGCTGCGCTACTACATAGTAATCTACCAAGATTAACTCCACCGTAAAACGTGTTTATAACGAATATTTACCCACCTGTTTCCACTGATAGACGTTCATAAACAGGGTTAGCTATCAAAACATCAAAAATAGATATATCACCGGGGGGAAACGGCAAGCTACGAACAGCCACTAAGCAGTTCACAAGCTAGGCGGTTCAAGACCACCCAACAACGAGGCACGATGGTGAAAATAAGATTGATATTGCTATGTACATCTCGATGCCTCCGAGGGCCAAACCAGCGAATAGAAAGCGACCTAGGCGAAAAGCCACCCTGATCAACCAACTATCATGAAAACCCAAACGCCGCCATCGATGCAAATTCGTCCGCTTCCAATGCATTTTCCATGATTTCCCTCATGATTTAGTATTTAAATCTCCTGCACGAACTGCGGGCCCATTAGATCGGTAGCCGCGAGCTCGGGGGCTACAAGCGACTTGTAGGGAATGGTAGCGACGGGCGTCGGGTCGAGGGAGCCCGAGTCCTTGTTGCGCTTGAAAGCGAGGAGACCGTTGTCACCGCCTTGGTTCGTGACGAAGGCCAGTGTCTGGTCGGAATCCTTGCTCAGGCTGAACATGCGCGGGCGCAGGCCGCCGGACGAAATAGTGTCGGCGAAGTCGAGGTGAGCGGCGCTGCACTTGCTGGTGCCCTTCTTGAATACGAAGTGTGCGATGCTGTCTGTCTCGTTGCCGCTGATTCGGTTCGACACGTATACATCCCTCTGGTTTGCGGCAACGACAAGCTCACCCGCGGCCGCGGAGGTGGAGTTGGCCGCTGGGACGGCGCCGTAGGTACTCTGCTTCTGGAGCTGCTTGAAGCTGATCGAGTCTTCGGTGTAGGTGAGCTTGAATAGGAAGAGCTCGCTGGTTAACTCGGAAGCTAGCGTATAGTAGTGGTCGTCTCCGTCCGAGATGAAGCCGCCGTGGCGAGGTCCAGTTCCGGTAGGTAGAGTTGCGTTGCCGGTAAACTCATATCGGTCATCCTTGCTGTCGAGCACCAGGACCGTGTCGCCGCCCAGGTCAGGAATGACAAAGAATCGGCCAGTTGGGTCGAGGAGAGCTTGATGCGGGTGGTGAGCTCCTTGAGCAGGGTTAGGCTCTCCCGGAACAATGACGCTCTTGAGGTGCTTCATGCTGCCATCGGCGGCCGAGACATCCCAGACGTCAATAGTACCACTGCCATAACCGGCGCCAACCATGCGGGTCTTATCGCCGTTGAACTCGAGGAAGACTACACCGGATGTACCATTCGCGGCAGAAGCAAGAGTCGGCTTGCCCGAGTCGAGCGTGAAAAGACTAGTGTCGTTGGCGTTCTCGTTGACAGCGTACAGGAGATTTGGTTCCTTGAAGAGTAGCCAGCTGGGTCCTGTCCCAGAAGCGGTATGGTTTCCGGTTATGGAGAACTTGGACCCATCAAAATCGGCAGTTAGGATCTGAAAGGGAGCGCCGATGACGAGCTTGCGAGATTCAGCTGCCGGAGCATCTTCGCGAGGTATAAGTGACGGCATCGCTGAGGCCGTGCCAAGGAGAAGTGTTGCAATAGTTCCCTTCATGTTTGGAATTGTGGAGGGGTAGAAAAATGGTAAGATGGAAAGTTGGATTCTGGTCTAAAAAGTGTTCAGATCGCGCTTGCTTAACAAGTATGTAGCTAAAAATAGGGAAGGAAGGAAGGGAGGGAGGGAGAAAAAAAGAGTAAATTTGTTATGGCGTTTATAGCAAAATAAATGGCTGGAGGTTAACGTATGAGCAGAAATCAACAATGAATTTGACGATAATTCTTTAGTGACTGACGCTGAAAGTCGGGCTTCAAAGAATAACAATGATAGTTAATAATAATGAATGACAAGGTAGTTGTTCCCGATGTGACCTAATTTCTTTGGACAAGGAACAAATAATTCTCAAAATAACAAATGAATGTATCTATTGATTATTAGATTTGGGCAATTCGGGCAAGTCGGGCAATTCAAACAAGGGAATGTGGGTTTAGCTTATTCTTACTCACCTTCGACCTCCACGTGAAGCTGTAAGTTGCATCAATTCCAGGATACGAGTAAGTAGAAATAACCAGAAAAATGGACAAGAACGAAGACACGATCATAAATAGAGAATGGCCATGCAGAAGGAAGGGTTTGGTTCAATTTATTATTCACATTCAGGCATTCAACAGATCATTTAGCGCTCCCTTTTCCTTGGCTCGAGATGATACCTCCCTATTTCGAACAGACTTAAATACACCGTGCCCAGCATAACTTCATAGGGCTGTGTTGCAAGGTTCATTGGTGAATGTAGAGATGATACAAATGATATGTACCAACAAAAGACCACATGCATCTGACTAAGTGCAACATTACATGTATATATAACTAATATTTGCGCCGCTTTGGTTGGTTGTAAGCATGGAAATTACATTAACGATTCCCCTATGTATTACATACGGGAAAAGATCAACGCGACTTCGGTGTGGATTCGGCTTGTTTAGGATTGATAGGCGCAAATCAATCCCGCGCCTCTTATACATATGTAGTATAATGAATTGGAGGAGCCTTTAAGAGCCAATCATTTGGCTTGCGCCACTTCCTCTCCAGACGGGAAAAGGTACATATTTGCATATGTAAATGCACAAACAAATTTAGCGTATTCAGGATCCCGACTAGACGGAACTGACAGCTTTTGAAACGCCCTATTTGTCTATTTGTGTATCTGACTAGGTTAGGTTAGTTAACTTTATAGGTAGGTAACTAGTGTAACTAAAGGAAGCATAGAAACACAGAAACAACCTCTAAATGACGCCAGCAAGTCACACTATGTTTTACATCCTATCCTTCAAACAAAACACCATCGTCTAACCGACGCCTATCTGAATTCATAGCAATCCCAGAATCACATCGCATACCCTCACCTCACCAAGTAATCGTAGCAACCATGAAGGCGATGAGTTTGGTGTTACTTGATGAGGCCATGTTGGTTTGCTTTGGTGAGGGTGTGAGTATCTCTTCGGGCGTAAAAGGTGTTGCTGTAGGTAACTTGAAGGGTAAGATATATATATATATATTGTAATAAATATGAGTAGGTACTGTGTTAGGATTTGCTATGCTGTTTTCGATATAATGTGCAATGAACTGATGTCTGAAGATGTATGTACAAAAGTCAAGCTACCATCTCAACGGAAAGATAGTCTTTTATATTATTACTCTCTACATCAATGAACCAGATCCGAAAGACGACCGTCGCAAAGACCTACCTCGCGCAGAATTCGGGGCCCTCAAAAGTGAAGTATCGTCGGTGGCTCAGCCGCAGACCTACGGAGGGGTTAGGCATCCCGTCTAGCTATCATTCGCTCGGCTGCTCATGGCGGTTACTAAATCAAGCTTAGAGCTAGCCTATAGACCACGCAGCTCAAGCCGCAAAGCCCCCGGTTTCCGTTCTAGGTAACTCGGAGCTCCGAGACCCATCCGCGAGAGACGGCCTTCAAACCGTCCGATTATGACCGGTTCCACCCGGCTTCTGGGATATTCGTCCAGAGTCTGAAAGGATGCGATTTATACACGGGTATTATCTATTCCGGGCTCAGATACTTCTTCATATGACTCTAACATAATTATACTATAGTTAGCAGTAGCTCCTCGGCTTCTAATCCTATGTGTTAAGACGAAGGCCATGCCGAATATTCTACGCTGACGGGTTTCTTCATGACTGGTTCATCCGTTGATTGCCCACACGTATAACGGTCTCAATTATGCAATTAGACTTATTCGCGCCCTTCTTTTTATTGTTCTTGTTCTATTATTAGGAAGAATGTGTCTTGCTCGTCAGCCATCTTCTACGAACGCCGAAATGAAGACTGGAGTTATTACCTAAAGTTCCTACGAGGTAGGACTGTCTATATAGAGCTATTCTACACAATTCCTAACATCATAGACCGATTATAAAACAAGGATGCTAACCTAGTGTATGTAGATACTAGGAAACAGAGATAATTCATGGAACTCCTTATGTTAAGTCCTAAAGTCAACAATCAAGTTCCTATACTATCGTCGAATTTACGACAGGTCGAATATATGAAATATACTCTCCTCACGTTCACATTTTAACATATACTTCACGAATAATTAAATCATGCATATCATAAATATCATATTAAGCTTAATTGAATATCTATATTCCTAATTTTCTTTTAATTATATACAAGTTGTTTATACCAGCGGCTCTCATTAAACCCTATGTACCTAAGAGCACAACGTTTCAGTAGTTCGTTCGGCGGCAGCATACCCATATCGATATGCAAAGCCGTATCCATAAAAGGAGCGGACGGCATCGTGCCATTACCTCCGCAGATTGGTATCGTGGCCCATACACAAAAACCGCCCGAGAGGTCGTGCGGACCCAGAACCTAAGGAAACCTCCATACACTCATTTTTGTAAGGCTGATATATATACACATATACGTATAACACAGGAGCTCAATTCGCAACTTAAAGCCAAAGCATAGCGCTAACAGCAATGAGAGCGGCGAAGGCGCTCGCGCCGAAAGTACGCTCTGGCCGCATACCTTGGTTAGAGTTGCCGTTGCCACTAGAACCACAGACCTGTTGGAAACTGTCCGTGCAGACGGCGTTAGGGCTGCTACCGGCGGGAGTAGCGCCACTGCCCGAGCCGCTACCCGAGTTACCGCTGCTCCCACCAGCTGCCTGTCCATTAGTACCAGGCCCGCCGCCGCTCAGACCAGGAATAACATCTTGCGTGCCCGATGACGTGCTCGGGTCCGTGGGATAGTCCTTGTCCATATCAAGGCCGGTACCCAGTAGCGATTTCAAGACGGTGTTGGAGTCGCCGTCTATAACGGTATCATTAGTACCTTTCGCATTGTTGTAGACGTAGCTTTTGCCCGAGTTGGTACCAGGTGCCTTATCCGTCTGGTAGCAGTCGATAGTAACCTCGCCGACGGTAGCGTAGTAGTAACCGTCCTTCTTGATAGCGTCACTGTCCCAGTTGATATATCCACCGGCCCAGTCAACCGTGCCCTTGGCGTTCTTCTCGTCACCACCAGGCCAGATAGAAAGTTGTACTCGGGCTGGCGTCTGGGGAAATTCCCATTGGTTGGTAGTGGAGTTCCAGGTCTCCGACTTCTCCCACGTCCGACCAACTTTATCATCTACAAGCCATTCGATCTTCTCCGGAGTCCACCTAATTTCGTAAGTGTGCCATTCGGTATTAGTATTTTTGATGGACGAGTCGGTGATGTTCTTTGAATGATTATCTATAGAAGCAGTTAGCGGGTTGCTACTCGTATAATCCTTTGAATGCACTAGAATCTTACAATTAGGTATGCCCTGGAAGTAGTAATTCGTCTGGACAATATCCAGCTCGGTACCAACCCACTCAAAATCGATCTCATCTTTCACATCGCTGAGCAGAATGAAAGCTGTAACAACACCAGCATCCTTCGACGTCTTCATTTTAGCCTTGACATTCCCGTACCACATATAGACAGTTGAGGCGAGGACGGTTCCAGCGGAGTGAGCCGGCATAGTCAAGAGCACATTGCCACCGTGGGAAAGAGGGGTGCCCTGAGCAACCCAATCAGCCTTGGAAGGATCACCAAGGTATTTCGAGGCATCAGAGATGCGGTCGGTGCTGTCCATCTTCATCGTCCTAGACTGACACACAGGCTCGGGGACACAGGAATCGAGAGAAAAAGACATGCGCGGGTCGCATCCGCCGAGGCAGTAGGCGCCAACACCACATTGGCCGTATTCTATAGTTTAGCCCAGTTAGAGAACTGCACATTGACACAAACAGGTAGGAGTTGTATCTTACGAGAGCAGCAAGGAGTTGCCTCTGGGCACTTCTTAGTGAGGGAACAGTAAGGCGCGGACTCTTGAGCGAGTACAGTGGACGCGCCCAGCAAGGCCACCGCCAGGGCTGGTATCGATCGAAGCATCTTATACATGTTGGTGTGACAAATATTAAGGTATTATTATATCGGTAATATATGTACCGTAGTCGAGAGCAGTTGAGTCGCGTGCGTCTCTGTACGTATATACAGCACGGGATGCTCGAGGGCGTATCAAGCGAATGAAGCCGGGAATAATATATAATATTATAATTGGCGGCTAATTTGACTCAGTCCACAGCAACCGACACTTCCTCCACACGTGTATACTTGGGCAAGCAAACACCAGGATGAGGAAGGCGTGCGTATGATTCCCGATAGAGGGGAGGAGGGACAATAGGAGCCTCAACAGGTCTGTCGACTTATATATACAAGCAAATATGCAAGCAACGACGAACTGTGATCTCCCTATGTATGCATAGACTACTTTCAGTATATACAACTAAAGCAGCCGTGCTTTATCGAGTGTTTCAAGCGAAAGTAATCTGAAAGCGATCGAGGCGAAACCTCTTTTGGAGGATCCGAATAACGACTGAATTATTATAAATAGTTATAAACAAAGGGCAAAGGCCAGCGAAGGTTTGAATAGGTAGGAATATGATGAGCACAAAAGACTCGCAGCCACCACCTGCTAGAAATGCATACAAACGGCAAAGCGAAAGAAATTACCAAAAAAAATGGCAAACCGAGAAACTATCTACCTGATGGGGCCGATACGAGTGGATAGTATGGGGATGGGGAAGGGGAAGGGGAAGAGAAAGAGAGCGTGTGGGAGAGAAATGGCGTGAAGCCCGAATGTTGGAGAGCCTAGCATAACGCCTGGGATATCGCTTTCGCCTAGGTTAGGATCTTCATAGGATAGGTTGGAATAGCGTGACAGCGCTGGTAGGATTAAGAGAGATGTCACTGTAAGATACTTGGTTGGGAATAGTGGGAATATTTTGTTGTGGGTCAAAGCGAATTGAGTTCCACCACTGTTTGTACCAAGACTAGCAGAAAAGGCTAGAAAAGGTACCAAGATTTAATCGATTGACAGCCGTTGGAATAGTGGGGCTTGGCGATATGCCATCTCATTGGATAGTGTAAAATGGTACAGTATATATTATAGATCGTATCATTTTAATACTGTGTTCATTCAGGTGCTAAATCTCGTATTTCTCACAAATCGAACTGGCAAACTTGACTGATGACCAAAAACTCGAATACTAAAACATACCTCCCGTATTTAGCAATGCCGCCCCCGAGGAATCTGTAGATCGACAATTACTGTATAAGTGTTACACCACTCACGTTTTAACATTTCTACGAATCTCAAGACATTCCTTTTCAAGACGTTCTAAGAAACTCAGCTAACAAACACGCCAAGCCGCCCATGTCGAAGCTAAAATACAAGGCTTTTATTGTCAACGATATTCAGCTCCTATCCGCTAATCTGCGCGTAACGTCTGTTCTCAAAAGCATGCATGACAGCTACTATTAGAGATAGACTAATATTATGTCTTAAAACAACAGTCGGCCGAATAATTAGTAGCGAGGAGGGTAAGCTTCGGCATTTGACTGATATTGAATGATATGTATGTACTGCACCGATTCAAGCACGGCCGGGCGAAGCGGAAGACCCGGAAAGAGAGGTAGGTACTTGACTTGACTTGACTTGACTTGGCCTGTGGTAAGAAGAATATAAAGACCAATCACTTCAATCGTATATCGTGTCAGTGCATGATTCCGTTAAGGAGAACCACACATATCAGCCTTCAGAACGAATCGAAAAAAAAAATTCTATGCATTTAACTCTCCTTGTGGAATTACATACATACATGACTGCTCGGTGCTCATCGCCCCCTGTCTTAACTGTCTTAATCATTAAAAGCCAAGAAAGAAACCCCCGGCAAGCTGTCAGGGATAGAATCGGATAGGTGACGTCGATATTGCTGTACGGCCGCATATGTACATACAAGACAGAATCTCATGCACCCCGGACTTTCTTCACGGGAGGATCCGGGCTTGCTTGTTCGTTGAAGGTTAAGTAGACACGCCTTCCGACGGCATGGCAACGATGTAATATGACCGAGTAGAGCTTGGGAGATGATGTACGGTCCGGAATTAAGCAAGGGATAGCCTGTCGACGTCCAACCATTCCAATAACTCCTCACAGCCCTAGCAGAATCATGGCGACATTAATATATCATCATCTATCCCACGAGGATGTAAATGAGACAGACCTCTTAGATAGATCACTTATATGGAAGGCTTTTGGATAGATAATATAAGCCGTCTATATACAACATCTCGAACCCAATCCCACATACATCCAGACCCCTTAATATCATAACTACCTGTGTAAGTGACAGAAGAGTAACATAAAGACAAGATATCAAAGTGAACCAAACCATCCACTCCCCCCCAACTCCTCTTCAAAACAAATGCTCCCCCGCAAACGCCAGCCCCTGATGCACAACAGTCCTCAGCTCCTCCGGCATAGGCAGCGCCTCAGCACGGCTGAAGCTCGCCCACACCAACTCGTCATGCTCCGACGACTTCACAGCCAAGTCCTCGTGATTCTGCACCAGCACCGCGTAATTAAGCTGTAGATACTCCTTGCGTAGCACCAGTTGCGGATTATGTATCGGCGACCTTCGCGACTGCGACGAGTCACTACTGCCCCTGAACCCGCCTGCTCCTCTTCCCCCTATCCCGCCCGCACCACCGCTCCAGCTGCTACTACTCCCACTCCCACTCCCACTCCCATACCCATTCCCGCTACTCCCTCCGAGACTACCACTACCAGGCGATCCCGTAGCCGACGTCAGCGTCGCCCCGTCTAGCACGGATAAATTCCCACTACTACTCCCGCCCGCGGTAAATATGCCCACACCGTCGTCGTCCCAGTCCAGGATCCGCACCTCAGCAACCCGTCTCACGTCCTGCAGAGCCCCAAGCACTCTCACAACACGAAGTCCCGTCTGCTCCTCCACGCGCCGCGCCACAGCCGCCGAGATGCAGAAATCGCCGTCGCGCACCTTACCCCCAGGGAGTTCCCACATGCCCGCGCTGCGCCTAGTCCTGTATTCCCTTTCCATTTCTTCTTCTCTCTCCTTTTCCCTTTCTATATTATTACTATCTAGTTGCTGGTATTGCTTGTCATGGCAGTCATCGCGGCCCCAGCGAGAATAGGGGGAGGTACTAAAGCTGGTCGTAATAGTAGTAGTAGTGGTGGTGCTGGTGGTAGTAGGAGAGTTAGGGGCAATAGGCGAATTAGCGTACGAAGCCGCCTCAGGGATACCCGACCGTCGAAGTAACAAGACCGAGGGCCGTGAGCTATGCGCGTCCATGCGGAAGATGCACACTCCCACGTATAGCTTGTCAGCGGGCCACGTGGCGCGGATCCCCTCAAGGTACTGGGCGCGGGACATGGCGAGCACCGACTTCTGCGCATGTGACAGCCTCGTCTTCCTGAACGACGACGCTGTCGAAGTTGCCATTTCTTCCTACCAATAGGTAGGTATAGATAGGTAGGTAGGTAAGTAGGTATACAATAGATGCAATGGCTATTCTCCTACATCGTAGCAAGCGCAGAGGAAGAAAGTCTGGTTTAGAAAAAGATCGTTGTGTCCCTAATTTTCTCTTCCCGTCCCCTAGTTTAGTCTCGACGGGAATGCACATGCAGATCAGTCACTTTTGAATGTAAGCGTCCGTCCGTTTGCTCGTGCGAGTTTTCCCCCTTTTTTTCCCTCCGCGACACACATACACACGACCGGCTAGGTACCTAATTCCTCTTGCTCTCCCCCGCCCACCTCTATCTCATTTATAAATGATACAATAGCGAGAGAACGTGGGAAGCACCAGGGGGTAATAGTAGATATCGGACTAGGCCCAACCTTTCTTTTTTCTCGTCCTGCCCTCGCCCGGGAATCTACATACCTTGCTCCTTATATCTTCCCGAGACAATAGGAGTGATAAGACAGCCTTTCCAGCTAGCCGGGCTAGATAGGAAGCGCCATCTTATATGGTCGGCGAGGGCACGCCTCGAACTTATTTAGAGCCGATTGTGCCTATCGCTTCCGAGAGGCTGACAAGATTAGCTTTCCAACGGCAGGGAAACGTTGTTACGTGGTTGCTAAAGTTTTCTCCCAACGTTATGGCACAATCCAAGGTGTCGGGATTCTGTCGGAATTATGATGGAATAGGTATTGGTCTCATTCACCTACCCAGGGCGCGCGGAATACACAAACGATACCCAAACGTCTCGGTGTAAGTCGGCAATAGCCTTCATTTTCTATCATATGATAATGATATTCTTGTCGTTACGTTGTAACCCTTATACCTGCTAGTAATATTATGGCTCTGTATTTAATTTTATCGTTCTCGGTAGAAGAATGTAGTGAAATTCGGATACATTCTATATACTTATACAATCTTCAGGCAAAAGAAATGGACAACTGATACGCAAGAACAAGCCTAGTTGGTGTGTAGTGTACACTATTAAGATTTCTCCGAACGGGAAACGCTAGCCGATGAACACATAAGCAAGCTTAGCACATGAGACTTATGGACATAATGGATAACTGTAGTATTCAAGTAGCTACCTCTACACCTAGTACCGTTTTGGTATATTGTAGGGAGAGGGTATCGCTACAGATTCCCTAGTGCCACGGCCTGCAAATGGCGGATATTAAAAAGACTCATCTATTGACTGCTGATCGCATAGTAACTCAAGTGACTTCGCATCCTAACAACTCTGCATTAAAACCCCCCTAAGAGCACGTCTGATTGATCCATAGTCACGCATCAACATCACCATGGTTTTTAAGAAGACTTCTTTTTTTTTGTAGTAATAATCCCTCAACCTGCCTACCACAATGCCTCGAGACGTAATCATTCGAGATCACAGAATACAACTCTGATTCTTCCCGAATTCCGTAATTTAACAATCCATCCATTCTCCCGTGGGGGAATCGTGCTGTGAAAAGAAAAAGAAAACCGTATCCTTGCCGAATAAGTATACCGAAACAGAACTACAGATGAAAACGGGAGTTGACGATACGCCGCCGTGTCGTTTATCTCCCTTCATCCCATGTCGTGGTACAACCAGAGGTTACGAAGTTGTGAAAGTCCGGTCTCCACGTACTAGTGGGATGTTGCCGAAGATGACCTCATAGAGCCTGTTCTCTTACAAAACCTGATAAGAATGAGCAGATCGAAGCATATAGGGTTTGTGCGCCAACGCCAGAAATGGGACACTCAGAACGAGATATGGGGCCTAGGGCCTGGGCTTTCTTAACGTGCCTTTTGCGTAGAGAACAGTTCTGGAAAATGCTCCTTGGCATATTGCTCACAAGCCTGTATTGATATCGGTTAGCAAAGGAACGGAATATTGCAAGTAAATTGAGTAGAGGGAGCAAACTAACCTTAGCTGGCTTTCCAACTTTCTGGCCTATAGTCTTCCACTTGTTGTTCTCGTAATCTTTAATGGCGCTGAGGAGCGCTTGGCTCTCGTCTTCGGCAAACTCGGCGTAGTGCATATCCTAGACGGTTATTGGCAACAGGGAACAGGGCGCAAGACATACTAAACAAATACGTACCTTGTACCAATGCTTCTTGACACTGCCCTCAGTTCGCGTCGGGAAGGTCTATTGCCGCTCAAGTTAGTTAGAATTCTAGGAATATTCGCCTCAAGTAAACTGACCTTGGCAATTTCCGCCCAGCTGTTGCCTGCATCCCTCATCTGCTTGAGTCGCAATTCTTCGGCGGGAGTCCATGGGGTATTCGTTCGGCTCTTCTTGGCCGGGGGTGGCACAACCGGTGTACTAGCCTCTTCCTTGGTGGGAACCGCCGGCGGGGCGACGGGAGTGACCTGCATCGGCGGTTGGGGCGCCGCGGAAACTGGGGTGGGGGTCGGTGCAGGAGCAGGAGTGCTCGAGGCGGCGGCACCAGTTGTAGCCGTCGGAACTGGAGTCGCCGGGTTGGCGGTGGGCGCGTGCGGTTGTTGATGAGCCTGCTGCTGATGCCCAGGTGCAGCGCGCTTACGGCCACGCGGAGCCGGAGCGGAGGATGGGGTCGGAGTCGACTGTTGAGACGGCGCAACTGCTGGTTGCGGGATGGTCATCGGAGGTGGAACAGGCGTAGCATGATGCTGCTGTGTTGGGTGTGAAGGCTGGTGGGGTTGGTGATGGGGGTGCTGCCCATGGGGACCGTGAGACTGCTGATGCGTCTGGTTCTGGTGCTGCTGGTGCTGAGGTAGTTGCTGATGGTGCTGCTGACCATGCGATGGGTGCAGTTGGGCACCAGGGTTCGGAGGCTGCGGCGTATAACCAGTAAACTCAGTCCGACGTGACATGTCGGCTTGGTAAGGATGGTTAGGGCTGTATCACAGAAGAATATTAGCATACCCATATGACTTGGTATTGCTGAGAGCGACAACAGCAAGGCACGACGCAATCATGGCTGCACAGCATTGAACATTCCGAATCAACGACAGTTGACAAAGTAAGGCGGAAGAGACAGGTGCTTTTCAGCTGATGAAGAGAGCAGGGGTGTTATGAAGTAGTTGGAGCTGCAGGATGGTGGGTATTGCTAGGTTTGTATCAAAGGAAAGAATGAGGCTATCACCAGGGGTCCTGCCACTCGTGGTGGAGCAGGGACTTGTCGACCTGGGTTGGAGGTTTGCGGGACAGGTCCATGACTGAGACGACAGGTATACATTTGGTACATATATGACCATGTCATCTATACAACGAGAATGGTGGTATATGTGTACGAGCCCATCTGGGGTAGACGAGGGGGGGGAGGGGAGCGGAGGGGGAAAATGGGGAACAATGTATATAGAGTCGGGGAAACAAATTGAAGAAGTACAGTACTTGAGAGACAGGATGTAGAGAGGAAAGGGGATGTACTTACTGCATGCCATCGTTCGCGTGCTGGGTGGAGTTGGTGTAGACCGGGTACTCCGTCGGCATGGGGCCGACCTGCCACTGCTGCATGATCTGAAAAGGGCAAACTAGCGTCAGCTACAAATACCAAGGTTTCTTTGTTCCCGATACAACTGAGGAAATTCAAAAGTGCATGGAACAAAGCTAAAGCTTGAAAAGGAGGGGGGGGATAAATAAAACGGGACTGAGCAAAATAAAAATAAAAATTGGAGGAACAAAATTTAAAATGGATTGTAAGTAGAGGGGAAAAGGGGAAAAGGTACAGGTGAGAAAATAAAGAACTAGTCGCGCAGAAACAGGGAGGCGAAGTAAGTAGGCGAGGTGCGCCAGAGTAAGGGAAAGTAACAGCGGCGGCAGAGGGGGGACGACACAAAAAATTACCACTGGTCCGACGAAAAAAAGAAGGACGAATGGAAACGTCGACAAAGAAAAGACATAGTATGACAAGTAGTTGTAACGGTGGTGAGAGTAAGAGTGAGATTGAGAGTGAGTAGTAGCGGGAGTAAGAAGTGACGATGATAAAATGTTACCGCGAGATTGCTGTAATGGGAGGCAGACTATGGTGACTGCATGCGCGAGGAAGTTGGAGGGGCAAAGGGCATTTTTAGTTGACAACGTGTGTTTTGATTACGATGCTGCTGATGGTTGATGCCAGAGCAAGGCCACAGCCGATAGCATCGTGAAGGGTTTGGTTGGAGTGCTTGACCCAAACACGCGTGTCTTGAATAGTCGCGCAACTCAATTATTTTTCTGTTGATGCAGGCGACGGGTGATGATGTCGATAGTGGGGATCGCGAAGGAAATACCGGAATACAACGATTGAAGGGGGGAAAAATACAAAAAGAGGTAGAAGGTACTCAAACTTACGGGCAATTAGAAGTATGAGATGGTTAAGCCGTAGTGCATAAAGTCTGCAGCGACGTTGAAACTCTGTTGCCTCCTGCTGCGAAACGGCGAGGGCAGGCAATCAATAACTCAAAGTCGCGCGTACAGTGGACAATGGTTTGTGTCTTCTCAACCTCGAGGCGACTTGATCCGAGATACAACGGACGCGTCTGTCACCTGGTACTTCCTGCTTAGCTGGGATAAAGTGTTAGACAAACCCGTGGGAAAATAAAGTGACAAGAAGGGTTTAGTCAATCGAAAGTGGGCGCGCGCAGCAGGCACCGACGCCGGTGAACAAAAGATTCGAGGTGAGGTTGGGGTTTGAATGTTGTTGTTGCAATGACAGGGAATGAGAACCGAATGTATCGTGTTCAGCAGAAGTACGGAGTACCTTGGTGTGAGAAAGGGAAAGGTAGAGGGAACAAACTGTGCGGATTTGGGGAGGGGTGCAGCTTGAGGAACCGTGGGAAGTATCTGAGTATGTAAGAGGTATGTAATGTAGAAGGAACGTTGGTGAGGTAGCCTTAGCCACCTGCAAATTTTGCACTTCTGCCTGTTGCGCACGGACTATAGCACAGCCCTGATATTGATCTGTGTGTCTTTTTATGAATTTTCTTTATGCCAGCGACGCCTTCGGTACAAAGTTCCCTGTGGTCTAAGCTTTTAGCTCGGCGGGGAATTCAGCTAAGACCTTAGTGTACACTGGAACAATTAAAGAAATCAATGTACATTGCAACATGCGCGAAGCTAGTGGGTTACTATCGAAGCGAAATAAAATATAAAAATAAAATGAGGGCATTTAGATTTGGAACGGTGCATGCAAATCTGAGAAATATTAACTGCAACTGAGAGGGTATAGTAATTCATTGGGTACAAACATGTGGCGTTGTGCTGCCGTAAGACTTGGATTGGCGTGAGAAAAAAAAAAGTGAGAGGTCACGATACCTTTTTTTCCTAAAAAAATTAAATATCTCGTCTCCTTCAGTTGGTCGAAAAAAAAAACCACGGCTTTCTTCTAAATTCCTAATCGCGATGTCAATTTGCAAATCTGCAGTTGATAACTCTAATGCAAGGATCTTAATAATAAAAAGTAGCGCAATAGGTACCTACGTCTGCAATGAACACAAAAAGTGACTTTGCGAAGATCAGATCCTAATACCTGAATAATGCAGGAAAAAAACTCGACTAACCAGGACTTGGACGATGCCGACTTTGTTCCTTGGGGAGTACTTTTGATGAAAGTATCTTGGGCTTAGGCTGGTTGATGTTTTGGATTGGTGTCTAATAATCTTTTATTTATTTTTATTTTTCGTGCGCGACCTGGGGGTGTGGGTTCGAACGACTGGCACCTCACGAAAAAAGAAGTGTGGAAAAGGTTAAGATTTGACGGTACGCAGCCATCGAAGGTGGAAAGTACCTTTAATGTTCGAGCCATGGTGGCTCTAAGACGCATTCCTCTTCTTTAATTCGCTAACATTATCCTTGTGCCTTGTGGTATATAGAATCTCTTGGCAGCTTTGTCCCGGCCTAACCCTCAACTCGGTTAATCATGGGTCAAGAATCGAGACTAATAAGTGATTACCAATAATTTGAAGCATTTTTTCAGGTCCGTAAGGAGTACATGAAGACCTTCTACTGTGCTTCGAAATAACCCGCACGTGATATTAGCTGCTACAAGACTCGACTATTGCAGCATGTATTATATGTATCGCATGTATTTTTCTACCGGCGTCAATACATATCATGTATGTACCTGCAATGGCTCCTTATTTCCCTTAGCCCCTAGGTACATCGCAGTTGAAAGTTGAAAGTTCCAAACCATTGGAATCGCTAGGTTGTCTTTACTTCGTTTTACTTAACTACCTCGTACTTATATCTCCAAGTTATACATAACCACAGTCAATACAGTGAAGTTAAGACGTAAGGATTGCTGACTACATCCTTAGGATGTATTTAAATGAGCTACAGCCAATAAGGCTATAATCCGCTCTTTGCTCTATCATATATCGGATGCAAAATAGCTAGGCAGTGAACGAATTGAGTATTTACCACATACTTATCATGCAGCTATCCGCACCGAATCTCCAGCTCTATATTAATCCTTGGGGACAACTCAATATATCTATTCATACAATATGGACATAGGCTTCCTATTTAAGCCTTAAAGGGTCGAGTCTTAAGGTCAGGTATTCAAGTGGATATGTAGATGATGTGGCTGGTATCCATACATGTATGTAGAGGTATGAACCTTGCCTGCCTAACATACATATTCTTGGCATGTAGTTGAGATACATTGTAAATCTACCCGCTTGTATCTATACATTTGAGGTATAGGGGGGTAAAAGCTCATATCGTTATCGAATAGAAATATAACTTTTTTAATTAGGTACTAATAACAAATCTAATTCACTTACAACCATTGAAGTTCAGTTACAATTCGAAGAATGGGATTAAAAACAACCTTTGCTAAGTTAGTTCAGACCAGACGATAAAGTTTAGGTATGGAACTAAGTCGCGATGCCAAGCGCATGCAACGCAAGGTAACGACTTCGGCCAAGTATTGATACTTCTCCCCGCAGTATGGAGTACACGCATCCTCACGATACTTGATTTCCTAGTCCCGCAAGTACCTATATAAGGTCAAGGTATACAAGTAAGTGCATGCAGCCTTGCGGTCACTTTCAAGTAATATGTATCTACTAATGCTTGTTCATCTAGGTACTCGTACTATAATATCTTATATTCATTGTCTCCTCTGCATATTTATTATCGGATGCAGCAAGCAAGCCACCCCATGGCCAACTTACATTAACTGACTATGTATGGATAATAACCAGGTTAAAGCATTAACAACCTACCGAATTCGCATATATCCCATACTCAAAATGGACGGTATAACTCTCCCGCGTTCACGCCCCTTATTTACCATAGCATTAAGCCATTCTAGAACAGCTTATCCATAATCATCAAGTATTTTCCTTTTATACCTAAGTAGATATAGGAAGTGCTCACTCTCCGTCTCACATCGTTTTCCAGCTAAGTAATGTTGTTTATGAAACAGTAGTACACATGTAGTCGTACCATTATCTATATTCCCAGAAGCACAGCAGTTTCCTGTAAGGAAATTCAATGTGTACCACCTCTTCTGATATCTAGCTCGCAGAGGGGACGGCTTACTGGTATACATGAGTGACATCTCGTTATTGCTAGGCGGTTATGTGCATACCAGAGATAGAAGTACATAATTCTATGGCATTCAGTTTGCTACTACATTAATGTCTATTAAAAAGCGTGGTCCCTTTATAGAGCAACTTGCAGGGCCATTGTCGACTATTGTCTAGAGAAATTGGAATGGTCGAGGCGAGCTAATAACGTGATCCCAAATACACGAACTCTACAATAATAGTCTTTTCGATGTATCTAATATAAGATAATTCTTGAGAAGGAGATGGCACAGTAACTAAAGGATCTCGGAAACATGATAAATAATATGGGCTTCGGCATTAAGCCTCATTGCGATCTACTATACAATATGTATAATCCCGACGCAGTTTGTAAATAGGTATGCGTCGATTTACTTCGTAAAATTGACGACTACTTAGTCCAAGTATTTATTGTCCAGGTTGAGCAGAGCTAGGTACCCCCTCAATAATTCTATTTCCTTAGGGGGATTTGTGTTGTACTAAGTATCTTGCTAATGGAAGAGAACATGAATCTGATATCGGGACTGTAGCAAACATTTAACCTAAGGGAATATAATGTAGCTAGCCCCGAGGCGCTTAGATATTAATGCGGCTCTGTAACCACAAATATAAGAATGATTATGCCTCTCACATGCCTGAGTACGTGCCCTCGAGGCACAGGGAAGTACGAGAAGACCATCTTGGGTTGAAGGCGTCTTGAGGGTATCTTTGTAATTTGACTCTAGCATCAGCTAACCGGATTGATAAGTGTTATACTACAGCTGGGAGATATGAAATAATTTATATAGCATTTAAGGACTGGCAAGGTAATTAGAGGTAGGACGCAGTTAAAAAGCAGAAACCTGCGAAGAAACACAGGGATAATGAACGAGTGAAACTTTCACGGGCCGTGGATCCGTGTCTGTCTATACCAAGAAATGTCGCTTATCGAGTTCTAGCATCTTGTCTTTCATCCCATCATCCTCAGCAAGGTTGTCAATTCAAACGTTTGTCATCTGGTTTTCTCCAAAACACGATCGACAGCCAAGCTAAGCCGTAATGGCCTACTTCTGACATGATGTGTAAGTATGTTTCTAAGAAGCTGAGCGGATTGAAACTATGAAGGTAGCAGACTGTCGGAACACAGTTTGAGAATGTGACTCTGACCACGATTAACTACTAGTTACATGCTGTATACAACAAGGTGTGGTAACCAGGAGCAGATACTCCATGGGTAAGGGGATTGAATACTAGATGGTTGCATACATATAAGTTAATATGTAATGGATGCTTATTTTGGGGCACGTACATACTTCATAAAGGGCTACCTAGAAGCTGCATGAAGTACAATTCTGTAGGTATCGCTCATGTACCTCTTGTTTACACTCTGCGACATTCGTTCTCAAGGTTGAAGCTAGATTAGGAAACAATCTTGAAATGTAGACTGCTACGATAAACACTTCATAGTTTTACAATAGCGAGAATGTAACCCGCAAGGGCAGGATGACAGATGATGACGGTGTCGCGGATCGCCAATCTACTTAGATAGTTGTTAGTTAATAAGATACCATCGTAATCTTATTACCCCCCTACGACAAGGCTAGTTTACGATATTCGCAATAGTTAACCTTACTACAAATAGTAAGCGGCTGGTCATGGAGTTTCCATATCCCATGTAGACAAGGCGTGATTATAGTTAAGAAACTATTTTAACACTGAGGAAAGGTAGTCTCCTGAAGGGTATTTTCATCCTTCATCCCACCCCACTGATATACATCTGGCATAAACGTCGGCTCTTTAGACAGAGGGAATAGTATTCATTCCTATCAGCGGTGTAATCAGCTAGAACCCCGGAGTTTGTTCACTGTATGTTATCGCGTTTCGCGGGAAGAGCCCAAATCTAGATAGACGCCGTGGGCAGTCAGTTTCGTATGCCGTTGGCATCCCGGCATGGTCGATGTTTGAGATAGGCCGTCCACATATTTGATCTGGTGACTATCGGGATGTTTCAACGCGGACTTTCGGAGTGTCGAGGACACAACTACCCCGCCCGCGTTTTGAATAAAAGAGAGTCGCAGGAGTTAGGGCTTAAATCATTCTAAGCCGGGATTGAAGTACCTAGCGTGCCATTCTGGTGGAATTCTGATGCTTATCCGTGACTAATTTTACACTTCTCTTATACCCGTCCTCACTTATAGAGGCTGGAGTTGCGGATTATCGGGACGGGTTTCGGGTTCTTCGTTCTATATCATTTATGTTTTTGGGATAACTGTTAGTTAAAAGTTTATTTCATCAACAGGATAGCTGCCGTTTAGGGAAAATGATATTCAACGATCGATGACAATATGTACCTGTATGTCAGTCAGCATGATGGTGGTTTGGTTGGAATTAGATAATTGGGAGAATTGGGTCAACACGCTAAATTCGCCATGTTCCGGAGCTAACAAGGATCATTCTAGGCTCATCTCTTAGCAAGTTTCAACTAAGGTTAGTTAGTACGGCGAACCGCGACAGGGATATGTTCCCGCTCTGCCGCTACTGACCAAGCAGATACACGAAATCTAGTCGGTCTTCTCCATACATTAGGTAGATAAACTAGAAATATTAATTAACTGAAATAGAGAATGGCGGCTTAAACTGCGATATACCTAGGGTATGATATATATCATTCCGCTAATAGCGCGGCTTAAAAGCACAACTAACAAGGGAGTCATACAACTTTTTTTTTTTTTTTCTTTTTCGGTCTTAAGGTTAGCAAGGTCTTTATCAAGCTACTACCAATGGAACTGGCGGATGTGGGTTAGAGTATCGCAAGGTTCGTGCTATTATAGGAGGTGAAACAAAACAATAACTTATCTTCTTCACTACCTAGTTAACTAGTTATACAATCGAGAGATCGATGGGATTTGATAGTCGTCAAGGGAAAATTCATGCTATTGATTCTAAGCAGCGACTCAAGATTCCTGTCGTAGTGATAAAAAACCTCGTCATCAGCTTGAGTTAGCCTCATCGAACAAAAAACGAAATGGAAGCACGGAACAAAACGAGGGGAGATTATACGGGGTATAGATTATGGTGTAATGTTTAGGTCGCTGGAGTTCGGCAGTTTCCAGAGAAGTAAAGATACTTGATTATTGGATATATCAAGCAGAAATATAGCGAGAGAGTCAAGTACTTGTACTTGATGTAGCAGAGCCGCGGGCGGCTGAACGAAAGGGGAAAAAGAAGGGGGTTTAAGGTTCCAAGGTTCCATGCTGTCAAGGGGTTAAAAGACACGCTATGTCGTATGTGGGGTTTCTTATGGGGTTTATGGAACCAATGGGAACCCCTGTAAACTGAATAAGCGCGTCCCTGTAACATAGTGAAGCAACGTCCATACAAAATCCAACAGATGTAAAACCAAAATCCCGACACAGACCCTTTCTCTCTACCACCTCGAAACCATACGAAGCCCTATCGGCGATACCACAACAGTACCTCTATATCTGTATGCCGAATGGCCTTGGCTTACGTATTAGTTGGGCCTATTATGCGTCAAGCTACACCAGACAGTCAAGTTTACACTTGTATCGTAGCATCAACTATTGCTAAACATGCTCTGCTACTTAATTCTCCGACAACATAACATCGCGAACGAGCTGGCCGACTAGCAAAAAATACAACCTCCATCACCAATCAAAGTTGTACGAGATAAGGGACTCGAGTGGGAGGCTGCCCCTCTTCTCTGTAACCTCAGCTAGAGACCGCTTTTCTTTTCTAACCTCCCGTCGAAACGGACATGGGTGCGATGGAACGGAACAGGAAAACAAAAGTGCATCCCATCTAGATCTGGATGTCTTCCCAATGCCCGCCGGCCACATGCGGCGGCCGGTCTATGTTACATCCAGCGTCATTTACGTAGTAGCCATGGTTTCCGAAGACGATACGAAGTATTGTATCTTCGTCTCCTATGTAGATAGAGCTCTGCTAGAGTTCTATCAAAGCCATCCTGTGGCTACGCGGCTACACAGCTACACTCTCGAGCGTAGAGTCTATGATATGTCCAAGGGCTGGGTTTATATGCACGGTTTCTTGTGTTTGTCCGTCTCGCCCGTGCGGTTTACTGGTAGGTTTGCCCTCGTGGTTTCGGATAGCGGAATGGATGAAATCCACCTCAAGCGCTTGTCCTAGCTAGGGTTGTCCGTTTTGGATCGATGTACATGGATGTCAGCCCAGCGCATCAAGCCAAGACCGTGCCTCCGTTTCCTCCAGTTTAAGCTCTTGTTACAGGGTTATAATCGAAAAAGTGCAAAGGCGTGGTGTGGTAATACCCACCCCCGGCAGCCTCAACCCTAGTCAATCTAGAATGTGCCGGCCGAGTATCAAGATGTAGAAGATGCATTATCGTTATTATCTGCCTTTCGTCTCACTTGTTCTGACTGATCTTCTTCCCTTTTGTTCCCTCTTTACCACCGTATAGGTTCAACCACTGTATCATTGACAACGTTGTTGCGAGCCTCCTTTCTTTTCTTTCGCAGCTAGCGACCACTTTCTTTCATCGTCCAACTGGCTTGGCTGCTTACGCTCTTTTTTGAATAATCATTTGGGTCGTTGGTAACATTTTGACTAGTCTACGCTTCTCTATTCGGTTCGTTTTTTTATCTGGTTTATACGCTTAATCTCTGACGTGACAAAAAAGAGCCCGGATATACGGTCTTGTTAACTAGACGATCTTCAACAATTTCGATTCTTGTAGCAGCTTGGCCTGCCTATTTTACATATACCTCCTTTTAAATTCGTTGAGGCAGTGCCGTCTTCGCTATTCTTGCAACCATCTACCTGTGGTAGATTACGAGTACATGATGTCTCCACTACAATTAACCACATCTTCCGCCATGCCATACACACCAACAAGCGATGTTCTTGATCGACATGAATATGGGGTCACGAAGAATAGGAAATTAACGGCGTCAACTGGCGGGGGGAGAGCTTGGAGCGAGGACGAGGTGTGTAGAAACTGAACATACATTCCTCTTGGTCCTATATTATGGGTCTAAAGTGGAAACAAGTTGTTGTGGTTATAGAAACTAATGTATAACAAAAATAGGAGGTCTATCTCCTTCAGACCCGCCTTCAAAAGATGCCCTATAAGCACATCGCCGCTCACTTGAAGAAGACCGAACTAGCTTGCCGTCTTCATTATCACCAGCTGAGCCATGGAAGCAATCGCCGGAAGCGGACTACCTCCGTGTCATCAGGTTCCTCCACGGGACATTCACCTATCTTACCGGCAACTATCCCATCGCCTATCCATGAGAGCCCTCGCGACTCCTCCCCCGTGAGTGCTACCGGTCACGAGCTCGACTCGCCTAGTTATTCGAATTCGGTGCAACTCCCTAGTATTATAACGAATGCCGGGACCTCGCCTCGCCTTCCCGTAATCCTGCCAAAACCGTCGACAATTACTCTCCCGCACGTAGCCCCTCCGGCTTCGTGTAACTGTCCTGCTTCGGGTTCCGATTCGTCTCGCTCGCTAGCGCCATCCCCGTTTCCCCAGTCCGCATCAACTAGCCAGGTACCAGTACTTCGACTTGACTGTTCTCTCCCGCTGCCTTCGGCTCACGTGGACATCCCTCGACTACAGTCGATATATGCCGCACATCGGTCGTCATTCTGGAGCGCTATCGCATGTGAATATGGGTCGGGAATTAGCCCAATCGTCCTAGAACAAGCGTGGAAGGCGAGCGCATTTGCTATGGGCGGTCAAACTCCAATTACCCCGGTCACTAGTCCTAATGACCGCGATACTATCTACGAAAAGCATGACAAGACCCGTATCAGCGCTATCCTTGGCATCGATGCAAATCCACGAAGTCCGAAAGAGAGAGAAATGGTTCGACGATTAGAAGAAGAACGAAGCATTGGTGTAACTGCTGGTGCTTAGAGTTCTAGGCTACTATTCATATTGAAGGCGAGCACGGAATTGTTACTCCTTTGTCGATATGGTATTTCACACATCGGTACAATCTTACTATTAGGATAGATTGTTGCCTATCCCAGTTGGGTAATCGTTTCCGTATCATCTCTTTTGCCCTTGTATGCCTCTAGATTTCCTAATTGCACATATCAGTCACAATTCACACATCGATTCTATTCTGAAACATACAGCGGTTGTTACTGCGACCACCGCTGAATAAACAACCCTTTTCACCGTATGTATTTTGGGTTTGGAGGTATGTGGGAACGGCTGGGATGATCTTGTAGCTGAGCAGGTGGAACTATGCGAATATCTTAACATTGCTATATTGGCTAGAGGAGTAGCTGGTTAACACGATTGGGGGTGGAGAAGGTGGGAATGGGGAAATGGAGGAGATGTCTTGAACGGCCGCTAGCTATGATTCAGTGTCACGTATTATTGGGTGAATATTTCTTTTTAATATTTCCTGTCAACACGATTTATGATGCAAATACAATACCCGATTATTATGGGCAAGGGATTCTGTACACTAAATCTTTTTTTAACCAGCTCGCAACGAGCAGCCTATGTTCTATCTAGAGCAGGGAGAAAAAGCCAATGATATTCTTTCTATCTTTAATGTACGAATGATAGCCCCCCTAGTTCCATTGCCGACACAGTCAATTGTCTCAGTTGTACAACATCGTATTAATAGTAATTACTTATAAATTAACAGACTTACTCAACTTACTTACACATATATATAATTCCTCTATTTATTTTGGTTCGTTCTGTCGTTCTGCTAAAGTCTTGAGCTGAAATTGGCATTGAATAAACAATTCAAGATCATCTAAGGTAAAACTCGTTACTGGAGCTGCGTGTAACACTTAGCGCCGTCTCCTCATATCTACTCAATTCCTCAAATTAAAAACCAGAACGAAGATACCCAAGTTAGGTACCTATAAGCGCGAATATGGCAGACAAGGAAGCAGAACATGGTAGCGAGACGATGGTCCCGATAGAGGCTATCCAGACCGTAGATCCCGAAGTCGTCGCTAGTTAGGGCCCTTTTCTTTACCTCTATATTTTACCTTAAGTGCCTCATGCAAGTACCAAAGTAATAATAACTTGGGTTGCAGAGATATATTGTACTAATAGCTTTGGTAAACGCAAGAACTTCCTCCCGCGACCAAGATCTCGATCGTTCCCTATGGAATTAGCTTGTGGACACGCACGGCTCGGCTGGACATCGATCGTGATGGTGTTCGCAAGGCGTATTTCCTCAAGGTGAGTCGCAAGCTTACACACACACATGTATGTATGTAAACGGGTACCTAATAGACTGCTTACTATAAACAGACATCCTACGGCGCCATCGGCCGCGCAATGACACAAAGCGAGTTCCAATGTATGTCTCGCATCCGCCGCGTCGCGCCGGACCTGGTGCCGGAGCCCCTAGCCTCGGGGTCGTTTTCCAGCGTGCCGGACGTGCATTTCCTATTGTGCGAGTTCCGGCGTATGACGGGGACGGTTCCAGCCCCCGAAGCACTCGCCGCGAAGATTGCGGAGCTGCATCGGTGTAGTGGCGGCGGCAGTGGTGGTAAGTTCGGGTCGGACGCTCCGACTTTTCATGGGAATGTGCGCGTCGACCATGGCTGGTCTGGGTCCTGGGAGGAGTACTTCGCGAGGACGACGAAGGTGCTGTTTAGGCTGGAGCAAGAGGCGCAGGTACGTCAGTTTATTACCTGGCTATGAGTTACTTGCCGCGTCTACCGAGATACGTAGCATATATTCCTACGTCCCCGTGGGATTTTTAACTAGCTCCCGTTTACTTACTCGCAAGACACATGTGTAGGGACCAAACGACGGAATAAAAGGGATGATAGCGCCTTTTTTCGACAAGGTAGTCCCGCGCCTCCTTCGCCCCCTAGAAACAGGCGGCCGCTCCATCCAGCCGTGCCTTATCCACGGCGACCTATGGCACGGCAATGCCGAGACAGATGCGGAAACGGGCTTGCCTATCATCTTCGACGCGGCGTCTTTTTACGCGCATAACGAATGTAAGGATTCTTGTCTAAGCTTCTATTAAGGTCCACCGACTGTAGTGTCAGCGGTAGGCTCACGGGACAATGAGAGCAGATGAACTCGGCGTCTGGCGCCAGCCGTGGAACAAGATTGGCAGCGCCTACCGGGCGGAATACCACAAATATATGCCCAAGGCGCAGCCAGAAGAGGACTGCGACGACCGGAACGCCTTATATGCAGTGTGAGACTTCTCCCGCCCCCCTTTGCCATCCATATTTCCCCGGAATACAACTACGCCTCATAGAGATACTAATAACATTGATCGTGGTAGTCGAGTTAATATCCTCGACTCCATTTTATACAAGGACGATCCTAGTTACCGACAGATGTAAACAAGCCCATTTAGCTAAGAATATGCCGTTTGAAATATGCTAATTTTTATCATAGGTTGATATCTGGTATGCGTGAGCTCGTCGATAAGTTTCCTGGTGGATTTGAAGAGTGGGACGCCTCGCAGAAAAAGGGGACAGTATAAATAGACTTGTGCACTCGGTGGTGGTTAATGAGTGTATGCCGGGCTATTGGAATTATGTCTTCGAATATAGGAAATTATGAGGTAGCCATGCTGTATTCGGGAGAACATTGATGGCTTCGCTACTTTATACTATTCGCAATATATCTCGACTACCTCTTACTCCGTCATGCTAACGTAGTATAAGTACCTAACCTAAGACTCGGAGCTTTGCCATACGAGATTCATGTACATAGCCCCGCATACATGTATCTCTTTAAATCATCTCCATAGGAATACCCTCAAGAGTCTAGTTCGCCCTAATTCAACAGTTTGATGGTTCACTTCTAGTTTAATATGTACTATTCTTTCCTTAGTCCCCCGTGTTACCTGCATACGACTCCGCTTTCCCCTCTTATACTCGGTGCCGACAACGCGCGAGGTTTGGAGCGGCTTGATCAATATCCCAAGGAGGTATTGGACCAAATGCAATAGGTATATCCTAGAAAAGATGTTTTTTTTTTGGGTCGTGGGTCATGTGGATATCGTTACAGGCCTGGTACAGCTCGCCTATGAACCAGTCGTCTCTCGAGGATTTCAAATTACTAGCTTCATATGTACGAATGCAACTCCTAGTAACCGAAGCATCTCCGCCCCGGGGCCCGGGCCATTGCCCGTTTCCAAATCCTCGTTACGTCAAATCTCCGAATGTCTAGATCGTCATAAGGTCTGAACTTCCCCGGCAATTCCTTTACCCCGCAGAGCCAACACCAAGGTTCTCAAATATAAGTTCTGTATAAGTCGTAGGGACTTTTCGTGAAGAAAAAGCTAAGACAACTTTCACAAATATAGTAGATAACAGGGTCAAGTAAATTCAACATGAGCGACGCACCGGCAGCTGAGACGGGCATCAGTCCTAACCTCCAGGATCCAAAAGCCGATCCGCAATATGTTCAGTTCAAGTGCCTCCCGGCAGGCGGTCCTTTGAATCGGTGGTCTCATGCGATCACAAGGGAACATGACTACCCTGGTGCTCAAGTGCGTGGCCATTCTATATCTAGAAAAGCTTGCTCTCACACATCAACGTAGGCTATGTTATACGGCGCCGGAGTGCCGAACGAAGAGATGATGAAGAATGCTCCTCACGTTGGAATCGCGACTGTCTGGTGGGAAGGAAATCCTGTATGTTATCTAGGAACCCAGCTTTGCCGCTCGCCTACAACCACTAACTTCTAATTCGCAGTGCAAGTAAGTGGCATTGACCTCTGATGGGTTATATAATAGCCACGCATTCATGACTTGTACCCGTAGCTAATAATTATCAATCGTAGTACACATCGTGAGTGGGCATCTAAACCGCGAGTTTCTTTAAATACGAGGAAACCTAATCAAGATAGTCCTCGATTTCGGAAAGATCGTGAAGAGAGCGATAGAAAAGCAGAAGATGCTGGCATGGCAGTACAATGCCGTAGGAGTATCAGACGCCATTACCATGGGAGGCGAAGGTTGGTTTGTGTTACCCCTTTTCCCTTGGATCTTACCGCTAAAAATACCATAAAATAGGCATGAGATATTCGCTTCAAACTCGTGATCTTATTGCAGATAGCATAGAAACCGTTACCTGTGCGCAACACCACGATGCCAATATCTCAATTCCCGGCTGTGACAAGAACATGCCGGGTGTTGTCATGGCAGCAGCACGCCACAACCGGCCATTCATTATGATTGTAAGTTGATAATTGTTGTTGAAACCCCGTGGCGGTGAAATCACGGCTGGATTCGCACCCAATTTAACCAGACGTGACACCAACATACAATTTCTAGTACGGTGGGACAATTCGAAAGGGTTATTCGGACCTTCTAGAGCGCGACGTGAATGTGAGCACTTGTTACGAAGCTTCAGGGGCATTCGCATATGGTCGACTCCAAGCCAAGACGAATCCTGGCGCCGCAGGTCGAACCCCGAGCGACGTGTTGTCGGATATCGAACGTCATGCTTGCCCCGGCGCGGGCGCCTGCGGTGGAATGTACACTGCCAATACGATGGCAACGGCTATAGAAGCTATGGGTCTTACCCTTCCCGGGTCGTCATCGTATCCCGCTTTATCTCCGGAGAAGGCCCGTGAATGTGAACGCGCCGCCGAGGTCATTAAAGTAACTATGGAGAAAGACATCCGCCCTCGTGATTTGTTGACGAGAGAGTCGTTTGAAAACGCGCTGGTCATTACTATGATACTTGGCGGCTCTACTAATGGAGTTTTGCACTTCTTAGCTATGGCAAACACAGCTGAAGTACCGCTGACTCTGGACGACGTCGATAGGGTCAGCAATAAGACCCCATTCCTAGCGGATCTAGCCCCGAGCGGAAAGTATTTGATGGAAGACTTGTACAAGATTGGCGGCACTCCGTCTGTCTTGAAGATGCTGATAGCGGCCGGCCTAATCAACGGCAATATCCCAACAGTGACAGGTCGTACCCTTGCGGAGAATGTCGCCGATTGGCCCAGTCTACCGCCCGACCAGAAGATTATTCGCCCACTTTCGGATCCTATCAAAGAGACGGGCCACCTCCGGATTTTGCGAGGGAACTTCGCCCCAGAAGGCGCCGTTGCCAAGATTACAGGCAAGGAGGGGTTGAGTTTTACGGGTAAGGCTCGAGTGTTTAATAAGGAACACGAGCTCGACGATGCCCTATCGCGTGGCGAGATCCCACGAGACGAGAACTTGGTCCTCATTGTCCGTTATGAAGGACCCCGCGGAGGCCCCGGCATGCCTGAGCAGCTAAAGGCGTCGGCAGCTATTATGGGGGCGGGGCTAAAGAACATCGCCCTCGTTACGGATGGGAGATATAGTGGTGCCAGCCACGGCTTCATAGTCGGCCACGTCACCCCGGAGGCAGCGAGAGGCGGCCCTATCGCACTGGTTAGAGACGGAGACACGATTGTCATTGATGCTATTAAGAATCGGATTGATATGACCAATGTGAGCGAAGAAGAGCTGAGAGAGAGGAAGAAGACGTGGAAGGCTCCCCCTCCAAGAGCTAGGAGGGGTGTCTTGGCAAAGTACGCCAGACTGGTTGGTGATGCTAGTCATGGTGCTGTCACAGACCAATGGGACCCGGAGGGTTAGGTATTACTGGTTCCCGTGAAATCAGGATAATTCGGAAAATAGTTTGTTTAGCCACTCCTAGGACTTTGTACATATGTGAAGTACTTAGGTAACCTAGTGTGTATCAATATTGGTGTTATTTGATGTTGTACTAAGAATTTCAGCTGAGGAAATACGATTCTTATTACTCGAATCGGGGGAAGTAAATGCGCGAGGAACCGGGTTGGCGATTGAAAATGTCTGACTTGGACCTCTTTCCGCCATCTTTGTTCCGGAACTAAAACCCTAACTTTATACCAAGATTTCCTTAGGAAGAGACACATGATATCTTCATCGAAGATTGACCATGCAAAGCGGACGAACAGATACTTGGCGGGAACACCTTATAAGCCTTCAATCTTGATATTCTTATATTCCGCAATAGCCTCGTAACCTTTAGGATCGTCTAGGGCTATAAGGCTAACGTGTATCGCAAGCCGATACACTTTAGGCAAGGTGAAAGTGGTAGACTTAGGGAAGAAGGCCAAGAAGCCATGATCCGTTAGATTTATACCGAACTAGGTCACCGGTTCTGCACAATCGACCACGACGTCCTGGATGGCCGAACAGGAAGACTCCATGCAGGTTTTAATACTATATCCTAACTAATATAATAAAATGCCCTTCGTTCTGTTTCCCAGAAACTAGCACTACATGAAGTCTCGTAGGCAAATGAGGTACCTAATCCAAACCCGGCGATCCAAGTACAACCTCGCTTCATAGAGGCTTTCGTACCATGCACTTGATTGGGATAATAGTGGTTTTCTCGAGGTCCCAGACACCGACTTTGGCGTAGACGTCGTCGTTGATAAAGGCGCGGACCTCCTCCTCCGAGTTCGCACGAACAAGCACAGAGCTACCGTTGACGGCGAGGTCTTCGCCAGCGGTCTTGGGGTGTGAGGAAAGAGTCGGTCCAGACATGACGACGGTACCGGATTCCACAAGGCCCTTCAGGTGATCTATATGCGCTTGTACATTGCTCAGGCGCGTCTGCAACATGCCCGGCTTGTCTTGCAATATGACTAGGAAATCGTTGAGTCCCGACATGATTATGGCTGAATTTACTCTTGGCTACAGAGTTTTATAGTACAGAGTTTTATAGTGCAGAGATACGCGGTAGAAGGCGTTCTGGGGGATCGTATGGCTGATAGGTGTCAGTTAAGTCATATAAGTACCACATAGATAAGTTATAAGAGGTTTGTGGGTGAAGTCTGGCCTGCTGACTTACTTGGCGATTTATTGATATTGATCTAGGTCCGTTTTAGAAACAAGTGAAGCTTGACAGGTTGTTGAACGGATAATGGGAGTAGCAGTCCTATATTTCTAAAGTATGATCCCATTACACCGCCTTTACAGCCATTTTTGACAGTCTGTAACTTAGAATACTATACTACTGCAACTCTATATTGCTTTTATCTTGGGATGTGGAGAAACGCTTGCATGTAGAGAAGAGCATGGCTCGAATCATGCCCTAAATTCTCGAAGTGCCGCAATGCCAGGGATGAAGATCGAAGCGGTCCGTCACAACGCGTGGCCATTGTAAAATCCTGATTCTCTACAATCTGACTCGGATCTACATATTGAATCATTCGGGTTTGAAGCGGCAGGGAAATAAGCAACATAATGTAGCGCCCATCTACAACAATAAAGCGAGCGACTTCACACTGTGCTATCTCACCTTTTCCCTTGTAGAGAGATACATCAGTTTCGTCAATTGATTCCTGCAATCCTACGCTGGGGTGGCCGTGTCACTTTTCGCATGATATATTTGCACGAAAATGTTAATATACCAGTGCGAAATCAAGAGGAGGCTTTGAATTCGCGTAAATCGCTATCTTCTTGACTCGGTGCGGAGTTTCTCGTGTTCAGCTAAATGTTACTACGCACCGACTTGTTTGGTTGGATTCTTCCGCTAGCTAGCCAAGCCGATTAGCCTGTCATCACGGAGAAACGAATTCCCTGTCAATAACGACTGTCGGAAACACGCCACAGTATGCTAGTAAGACGCGTACATACATACTAGACGAATCGGCTTGGAGTTTCTAGGCTGTTAGGAAAGGTAGAAATGTCGTAGAAATGTCACCTTACGGTACCGAGCCTCGGGGCACGCTTCTACCTGGGGTTTCTTTTACAGCATGTCGAACTATTGTGCTTGTGTTAATGTCGTATGATCGTAGAATCCATCTGATAAGATGCGGTTGAGTCAGCAGCTCACTGTTTCGATGGGAATAAGTATAGGCGTCTTCAGTGATCTCGGTTCTATGGTAAGAAACCAGGGGGGATAATATTTATATACTAGTTGATTATCTATGAATTATCTATGAATTATCTATGAATTATCTATGAATGCCACAATATAACAACTCAGCAACATCTTAGCAATATAATACACACGTAGTCGAAACTGATAACACAATGGGCAGCATCGAGAATATTCCAGAAATAGCACCTGATGCTATCCCTACTGTGGACATCAGTCCCTTCACAGACCCAAATGCATCTGAGGAGGCCAAGAGCGGTGTTGTCGATGCCATACGCCACGCTTGTACCAAGTACGGTTTCTTTTACCTCGCCGGCCATGGTGTGAGCGAAGAAAAACGCAACGGCATACTCGAGTGTGCTAAGATATTCTTTGACCTCCCGAAGGAGGAACTCATGGATGTTTGGATCGGCAAGTCGATGGGCAAATCATTCCGCGGCTATGAGCCCCCTGGAATTCAAACCCATCAAAAAGGTCTCCTGCCAGATACCAAAGAGGTGAGCGCATGAAAGACAGTGTCTAATACTACGTCGAAATGATGAGCATTGAGAAACAGTGAAGAAGAGGCTTGGAACTGACACGAACCAGTGCTTTTCGATCGGCCACGAGGTCCCTGCTGACCACCCAGATGCTGGCACTTTCTCAACCGGCCCCAACTTGTGGCCCAAGAGCCTCAAAGATGAAGATTTCCGAACTCCTGTCATGGAGTACCAAGCCACTATGCTTGCGCTCTCCAAAGTGCTCCTCAAGCTCCTCGCCCGCGGTCTTCCAAAGGCCTGGGGGCATCCTACTGACGTACTGGATGAGGTTGCCGTCAACCCATCCATGCCCATGAGACTGCTGCACTACGGTCCCCAAGAAGTCCTCGATGAGCGACAGTTTGGCGGTATGTTCTCATATCTTGCTTTCTTCTCCCGCTTTATGCATGTCTAACCAAGAGTAGTGGGCGACCACACCGACTTCGGCTGCATCACCATCCTGCTCCAGGAGATGGGCACGAAGGGCTTGGAGGTATGGTACCCGCCGACGGAGACGTGGATCCCGGTGCCGCCCAAGGCGAATTCGTACGTGATCAACATGGGCGACATGATGCAGAAGTGGACTGCGGGCTACTACCGCAGCGCACGCCACCGCGTCATTACCTCTGGCACCAACCACAGGTACTCCGTCCCCTGGTTTCTCAACGGCCAGCTCAAGCTCAAGTGCAAGGCCCTCGACGGGTCTGGCGTCGAGACTATTGTTGGAGAGCATATTCGCCAACGCCTCATCGCTACCATGGGCGAGACCGGCAAAGCCCTACAGTAGACTTGCTGTAGCTGAGACGTGCGCGGAGATGCAAAAGAGGCACAAGTGTCGGTGTACTCAACTAGTGTAATTTGTTAAATGGAAATCGTGGTCCGGGTTCGGATTGATTTTATATTTCTTTTTTTGACAACTGGGCCAATCTCTCAATATAGGTTTATCCAGCACCCTGCGTTCGAGGATTTATCCTTGTGTAGTGTCTGTTGATGAACCATATAGTCTCACCGGGATTGTTAGCTACCACGAGGATCATGTTCTCGCCTCATTGGTAGAGTTCTGGACACAGTCAATATATGTGTAGAACAAGGAATTTTAAGAGTCAATCCCTTATATAGGCGGTAAAGAGAAAGTATAACAAACGTCTATTTGGATGTACTCGGGGATGATTTGATTGATCGATGCCTCACTCTTCGTGCTTAGCTCAATGTTGTTTGTACGTTTTAATACCACTATTACTATTGATGTTCAATAACAAATAACATGACGACCCTCGACTTATCTCTGGAAGTTTCCCATATAATCTTATAATCTTATAATCTTGTAATCTCGTACTAGCGATGCGGCTCTTTTGATCCGTCTAGGAAAGCCGCCAATATAATAAATCGGTGCGTAACACCGGAGACGGGTCGATCATCAAGGGCCTGGCAATCGTTTCAGCATCGGGCGTATCCACGCAGCCATTATATGCAGATGTTCGGTAAATGATACATGGAGCGTAGAGAACTACGGCGCTAAGAGAGGACCTGTGGAAAGCCAGAGGGTCTACTTGCGACACTTTACCGGAATCTGCATTAACTAAGGTCAATAATCTGTTCGATAGGTAATCTCGTCTCGTTTCTAGGGAGTTTTACATATTGGTTAGAGGCTCCGTTGACTCCATCGAGGAGATCTTGAGAACCCCACTCCTTACCCCCTGTTTCTCTCTGTCTTCATGCAAGACAATGCCGAATATCTCCTTTATATGCTGAGGATCCGTACCTTAGAAGTTATATCCACCTTTACAACTATATTCTTTTCTATTTACTCTGAATATTTAGGTCCGGCCACTTTGATATACGTTCAGAGCAATATGCCTGTGAAACATCTAGTCTTATTCCAATTCAAAGCCAACATCGGCGCCGACGCCGTGAAAGAGGTCTGTCTCCACTAGCTTCCGGTTCCCTATGTATGCGCTACCTCACTTACACTAAACTTCGGTGTAGGCAACGTCGCGCATGCTTGGTCTAAAAGAAGGCTGCCTCAACGCGTCGCGGAAGCAATACATCAAGTCTCTTACCGGCGGCAAAGACAACTCCATCGAGGGAGCACAGGTAAGCGCCGAACGACTAAGGTCGTAGATAGATAGAGTCGCAAGGCCGCTAATTAAGCCTCCAGCGCGGTATCACACACGCTTTCGTTGTGGAATTCGAATCGATTGAGGACCGCAACTATTACGTCAACTCTGATCCGCATCATTCGGAATTCAAGAGCTTCGTATTGCCGTTTCTAGAGAACTTCGTCATTGTGGATTATTCCGAGGGAGTCTTCTAGATTAATGTTCTCGTACCTGAGTTAAGACGGGGTTATTATTGTATCTAGCAAGCTAGTATTATACCAATAATATAATCCCCTACACAGGGATGTTCGATCTATTCTCTTGGCTCTCTTAGTTATGTCTATATGTACCTAGGTAAACAACACAGCTGGCATGTCTCGTAATTCACCAGCTTCTTCCTCTCGATAGCGTACATTCATCATCTATAAAACAGTAACGTCCTGTCGCTCTCTAGTCTTGATATGCTCTAGCCACCGAAAATGTGCTCTTCACTCAGTTGCGATCGCCGCCTGGTACCAGGTTAACGTACCACCATAAGATATAAACACTCACTCGTGAAATATATACTGACAGTCCTTACCATCCACATTCCTATCCACATTCCTATCCCTAATCACAACTAACCATACGTTTTTGCCTATTCCTATTGCCTATCCATCTCCATGCATCTCTTCACAATCCCAATTGCCTCATCCATCACCTCATCACCGCGACGCCATGTATACAGCGCCACGCCCTGCCGTTCCAGTGTTTCCTGCGCACGTTGCAACCGCCGGCGCCACAAGTCCAGTTTCTTGTTCATAACCGTCGTCTGTCCGTTTAGACTCCCGTTGCTATACGTAGCGCTACTATTAATACCAGGTGACAGACCCTCAAACTCGACCCCCGAGTCCCCTGTTGTCCGCCGGCGGACTAGGGCGCTGTCGCTAGCACGAGCTGCCACGAGACGCGGGCTCGATTTTGTCGTAGTGGTGCTGGATGGTGTGCCTCGTCGAGGAGGCGGAGGAGGAGGCGCGATTTTAGATGATGAGTTGAAGGGAGGAAGACTTGGATTCTCAGATATCTGGCCGTTGCTCTTGGGTTTCTTCACCGCTCTTGATCCGTCCCTTCCGCCGGCGTGGTCAGACGATACCTGCACCTGCGCTAGCGGGCTAGGTGTCAACGCTCTATTATTCGCCTGGATTATCTTACGCGGCTCCGGCGGCTGCGGGGGCACCGAGCCCGAGGGCTTTTTAGTAGGTCCACTATCATCTGTAGTCAGTACCGGCGCAGCCGGCGTGCTCTGTAGGGATTTTGGTTTCGCAGGTCTTGGTGGCGGTGGTTTCCGTGCTAGTAGATCCGCCGGTCGCACGGGTTTCCCCACCGTCTGGGGCTCAGATTCGACCCGCCGGAGCCGTTCTGGCTCTGGCCCCGGCTCCTCTGACAGGTCAATCAGGTCCCCCACGACGGGCCCGTTAGCTGATTTCGGCGTAGTTGCTACTCGAGGAGGGAGCTGGGGTCTTCTGATGGGACTACTCTCTTTACTATCGCTGCTATTACTTCTGGAAGATATCTGATTAAGACGAATGCTTGAATTAGTTCGAGGAATGCGTCCGCCGTTATTACGTGCGTCGAATCCGGAATCGAAATAGCCAGTTTGTTCGGGTGTAGTAACGTCTCGAATGAAAATAGCTAATATCCTCCCGGGATGAGAAACCGCCAACTCCGTATATACCTCGAGGTCCGCTTCGCCGCTGTCACCGACTAGAAGGAATTTCCTTTCTGGAAAATCTCTCATGATCTTCTCTAGCGTACCCTTTTTCCGCTCGGCCACGGGTTCGAATATGCCCTGAAGCATACCCGTATACTGCTTCAAATGTAGCGAGCCCGGCGGTAAGCCGGCTAACTTGAAGTACGTAGCTAACACCGGGTACAGCTGCCATGGGCTATTAGAACAGTAATGTATGCGCACGCCAAGGTCATGCAAAGCGCTGTACCATGTTTGAACACCGTCCACGGTTAGGTCGCCTAGCTCACGAATGAAGGTGTTTCGAAATATTTCCTTGGCCCCGAGAGATATGTTTGAGCGTTTGATGGTGTCGTCGATATCGCTTATTAGGCTGACTCCTTTTGGCTCGATGAGCTGCACTGGTTCTGTGTAGGATATGTCCTCGTTCGCGAGCACGCGTACATGGGTGGGAACAAAGTCGAGCGCCGCCCTGATTATAAAGTGCCCTGAATCATTGGTCTTTACGGTGCGCGACTGGGCTTGCTTTTCGTTATAGAAGAACAAGGTAATGGGAATCTCAACCAACGGCGTGGTCATAAAAGGCGCGATACGAGCCATTAGATTTGCATTTGCAACTGCCAGCTCCGTTTCGGTGAGCTCAGTAGTTCCTGTTGTATTAGTGCGTCCTCGGAGAACAGGTGATGACGGCGCAGAAGGTGGTGATCTACTGCTATCTTGCGAGTAGTGGTCTATGCGTCGCCTGTTTCCTTCGTCTTCAGAATCTTCATCCCTCGGTCGTTCACTATAGCCACCTTTTTGCGCGGCTTCCTCCTCAAACTTGCCCCTGCGCTCGATTTCTTTGGCTTCTTGTGCGATCCTCTCTCGCTCACGTTCCTCCTCGTGCTGTTCGTGTATCCTCGCAAAAGAGGGTTCCACAGTAGCAGTTGGGTCGGCCTGCTGAGTCTTTGGAGCGGGAATACCGCTTAACTGTCTCGCCAGACCAATCAATATTCGATTGCGACGAGTCATTGGGTTCCTATGAGGGATGTATATCCAGCCTCGGACATCTACGTCTACAATAGCTTTCTCGTCTTCGTGTCTCGACCACTCGTTCCTCCAGTAATCCTGTTCGTTCATGCTCATGGTTGAGGTATGGGGTGGTCCTCCCGGATCTTCGAACTGCCTAGGTTGACTCTTCACGTGCCTCTTTGCATAGGACGGGAATAAGACCATCTGCTCGTTTCCCTTTGTCACAATGGCAACGTCGGGGAAGGCATCTGGTATTGTAATCCTGGTCGCTTCTGGAGTATCGGCATCACTTGATCTTGTCTGGTAGTAAGACTCTTTAATCTCGTTTACCGCCGTTGCGCCAGCCCTGTACATGCTGCCAGCCATAGCTGCAAGCTTCCTCCTTCTCGAGCCTCTCTCGCGTCCGCCATCGGCACCCAAGTTCCCACTCCCCAATCCATATTCTGGCACAGTTGTCATATTTCCCGGTGTAGATCTTGATCCATCTCTCGGGCCCTTGGTATTGGGAGCTGGTAAGCCGAGCAACAGCCGTCGCGCGTGGTCGACGAGACGCGACTGCTCACGGCGACGGCGCTGACGGTCGAGGATAAAGCGATAGATGCGACTTTGGAGGCGATGTTTGTAGTGAGGAAATGTATCAAGGTGGAAACCGATGAGTCGCTCGCGGTAGCGTTCGCGTAGGCTATGTGGGAAAAGGTACTGGAGGAGGCTCTGTCGATGATGGGGATGAGGACGTATAGGGATAAATCGACGTGATGGAGCCACTTTGGGGGATTCCGCGGACCAAGTATTTAAACTTGTTCGAGCTTCACACGGAATAATAATATATACTAGGTTAGACTTGTAATAATATATACTAGACCTGTATCATTCACAACGTGACAAGGCTTCAACCAGGTGGCTTATGTCTTCGAACGACTGAGAGGGTTGAATTGGATAAGGGCCAATTAAATTAACACATGGTTTACAAGATTAAGAGAGGCTGGCCTGGGAGGAAGGTTTCGCGATAGGGCTGACAGGTAATATTTAAGATTTCATCATCTGACTCTTATCGAGGTTGGAAAAGTTGGAGCTTGTGCCCGTCGAGTCTCACGGGCAAACGGGGCAAACGTAGTTTTTTTGGTGGGGGCCGCGCACTGGTGACATCAGTTGTGAATCCTAACTGATACTCATCCCTGTCCGTACCTTTCTATATGTGCCCATAAATCATATAGTTAGTTATGTAGACCTAATACTCAAGTTTAGTGGCAATAGTATCGTATCATTGACAGTTCTATACAGTTCTATATCTTGATCATACTTCAATGGTTATCATTGGCTAGTTAACTCTAACCTAGAGAAACTACCTAGAACATATATCGGGTATATTATAACGTAGGAGCAGGGCATCGCGAAGACCTCATGTTGGTATTAGTATCGTTTAGTCTATCTATCTCTCTTTTGAATCTTTCTAGACGTCCTGGCCGCCTTCTTCTTCTTCTTATCGTCCTTGAAATTAAGAACGGCACCTTTGCCTGCCCTCTCGGCAGAGCCCTTCTTCCACATTCCCTCCGTCCTTGTTGACTTTGCGTCTAGCTTCTTCTTATCCTTGTTGCTCAGCTTGCCGTTCCCTTTTTTCTTTAGGGACTCGATCAGCCCATTCAGCTCAGCCCTCCCGGCCTCCTTAGCCTTCTTCTTCTCATGTTGTGTTTCGAACCATGTTCGCTTCGGTCGCGACTTGATTTCATCCTCGTGAATAACCATATTCTCCCCCTTCTTAATTTGCATCTCTGCTTGTGCCAGCTGCTTCTCTTCCTTCTCTTCCTTAGCAATCGATTCGATCTCATCATCCATCTCGTCGATCTTGTCTTGCCATTTATCGGCATCGGCGGGATCAATGATCAAACTACTGATCTTGGCCCCCTGGGCCTTCCCGGCTCTAACCGCCGCTTTTACGACTTTTCGGTCAGGTTCTGCGGCTAGTGTGACAGCAACACCCGAACGTCCAGCTCGTGCAGTGCGCCCTACACGATGTACGTATATCTCGTGGGTTTGTGGGCCTTCGTAGTTGATAACGGTATCTATACCTTTAATATCAAGACCTCGAGAAGCCAGATCAGTGGCAAGCAGAAAAGACACTTTACCATCCCGGAAGGTTTCGACACTAGAAATGCGCTGCGAGCTGTTAGAAACAAACAAAAATTTTAAGTGTAATATGGGGGTTGCTCACCTGTGCCTGATTCATACTTCCGTGTAGTTCGGCGCAGGACAGGTTAAATAAGGCAAAAACTATCCGAGCACGATGCGCATCCTTCTTTTGTCTGAAGAATATGATAACACGCTCAGTATACATCGTTTTACAGATATGGATGAGATAACCCATTCTCTTGTCTTCCCGACCTGGTCTTAACCTGACAAACTTTTGTTCTAGCTTGTCGTTCGTTTTCCTTTGAGAATCTACCATTACTCGTACTGGTTTGTTTAGACCGGCGCGGATAAGTCGGTCAACAGATGAAGTCATGGTAGCAGAGAAGAGCATTGTTTGCCGTGACTTGGGTAGGGTTGTAAGGATCTCGTTTAGTTCGTCTGCAAACCCATCCTCGAGCATTCGGTCGGCCTCATCTAGAACCAGGATTTCAACCGTATCCGTCGAAAAGCTAGCCGAGTTACGCATATGATCGATAAATCTACCCGGAGTAGCAACAATAACGTCTGGTCTTAGACGTAGTTCTGCTTCCTGAACTTTCAAACTCAATCCGCCGACTGCCAGACAGAACTTGATATCTGTATGGCCAGCGAGTTTGGTTGCAACGGCGTGGCACTGTATGGCGAGTTCTCGGGTAGGGGTTAAGATAACCACGCGGCTCGTGGGGATTTTATTTGGTCGGTACAACAGCCTTTCTAAGATGGGAACAACGAAAGCAGCAGTTTTCCCGGAGCCTGTAACAGCGCCACCAACGAGATCCTTTCCTTCTAGCGCGAGTGGTATTGTTTTCGCTTGGATTGGAGTGGGTTCGTTAAAGCCGACAGAATTAAGACCGCGCAAAATCGGTCGTGAAAGGGACATAGTTTGGAACGAAAACTTTCCATTGTGCTTCCCAGATGGCTTCTTCTCTTCAGGTGCAAAGAAGGCTGCTCTCTTAGCCGCTTCTTCAGGATCTTCCTCATCGTCCGTTTCGTCGGATTCTCCTTCGTCATCAGGATGATCAACGGGGGTGGCAACAGAATCATTATCCGAAGCATCATTCTCGTCGTTTTCATCCTGATTAGAATCATCACCTGCCTTATCATCGCCTGATTCTTCGTCTGAAGCAGCACCCATACCAAATCCATCTTCAGCTAAAACTTCGTCGTCCTGGTCGTCAAGTTCGATATCTTCGTCGTCAAGTTCGCTACTAGCACCATCTACGACTTTTTTCTTCTCGTCGTTTACTTCAGTATCCCCTTGAGTAGTACCCCTTCTCCTTCGCACGATCTCATCCACGTCAACGAGTCTCTTCGTTATGTTTCCGTTCATGCCCTTTTTCGCACCATCAAAGCCCCAGCCTTCAAAATCCTCTGCCCTGAATTCTGTGGTGCCATCCTCTGCAAACTCGAATTCAGAATCCATTGCTCCATCATCCTCATCTTTCTTGCCCCAAACGCCATTTTCGTCATCGTCTAATTGAGTAGGTCGTTTATTTTTCTTGGCCTTTTTCTTTGGTGGGTTCGGCTCGGGTATGACCTCTTCTTCATTGGGAAGCTCCTCGTTATCAGATAGTGTATATATGAAGTCGTCGACCTTGCGCTTAGAAGCCATCTTGATAAGGCCTACTACGGTGATAAAATATCGTGAATATTTTGGCCCTATTAAATGGTATAATTAAGAAGTCTAAGAAAATAGAAGTAAATTTATTTTTATGCCGGGCGGTGTAAATCATAGTTCCACTAGTCCCTCGTGTCCCCGCCATGCGGAATGTTTCCGATTAGCAGCACGTGTTTATCTGTTACCTCTTATCGGGTAGGTACAACATGTACCTACCACATGTCCGTACTTCAATTGTAGTACATATAATGTACCTAGGTACCTTGCATGATTCCATGATCTCTCAACTGATCATCGTCTTTGAGGTCATTTCTATAATACTCCTTTTTATATAAACCACATACCCAATATCTCCCAACTACTCAACTATAATAGACATTTATCAATCCATTTCGCGGTACTTAGGCAATGGGAATTGTATCTCGCAGTTTTCCATGAAATCCCTTTTTGTCTTTAGTAGATACTCCGTACGGTCGAGGGCGTTTTCCTCTTCATCATTAAACAAAATCGGCACTAAAGGGCCACACGGCCTCGTCCACGACACATCCACATTGGTAAAATGATCCCTGGGTTTTACTCCCTGTCTAAAAGATTCGACCTGTATCTCTGCATGGGGTAGCAGCGTATCTACCACCCAATCAATACTGGGCGCCGCACTCCCCCTATATGGCCATGCTGCAATATTCATGTCTTCTTGACCATCCCATTCGAATGTACCCAAGATGTCCATAAGAAGGTCGGAATAGCCTGGACCTGCAGGGTGAGACAGCGCAGGCGTTATGTTTACATCCCTAAGGAACCTGCTGTCTGGCCGGTGGCTCCAGGCGTGTTCGCCTCTCTCGTCTCTCGCATGCTGGTGATCTATTAAACCCTCCCCGAGCGGAATATGGGTCATGCACATCAGGCGCAATACGCAACCAAGATGGTAGACGTCCTCCCAAATATTCGGGTGCATCTCGTTTACATGGAGGCCGGGCTTTAGCCAAGCATCGTCGTCATCTTCTATGGCCGAGTGCGAAAAGTTAGATAGTACAACCCGGGGGAAAGCATTTGATTCGATGCCGACTCTAGGCTTAGCGCCCGGTTTCCTCGCTAAGTAGTCGAGGAAAATATTACTTGGCGTTACAGCCCGGTGGTAAGCCATAGTCCAGTCCCTGACTTTGAGGCGATTCTCCGGAGTCCAGCCAAAATACAAATATGCCAATGCTTTGCTTAGTTCAGCGGCAACATGCCAAATGAATATCTCTGGAATTACCCAGCCTCTGTCGTAGTATTTACGTATTAAGAATTCTAGGGATCCTCCATTCAGATATCTAAATTGTAAGAGGTGAATTGTTAATTAATTTTTCTTCAAACCCGCTGCTAGTACTATTGCCAGAAGAACTCACTCGTAGTAAAGCGTCCAATTCTCACCATCCGAATAAAAATATTTCAGTCTTTGGAAATGCTCATCCTCAGTAAGCACACGCGATTCACCTCGAACGTTCGTGAATGATGTGGGAGGCAGAGTTGAAACTCTCACTTCAGGTGGTGCGGGATGTAAGAATTCATCTTCCTGCACCTGGTCTATTGTTACGGGCCGAAATCGTTGCTTCAATACTTTTACTTCATACATCTGCCAGTTTGCAATGGACTGGGCGACATAACATCCAGGTTCATCAATTTCCAGAACTAGAAAGCCATCAGCTGCAATTGTCGCATCACCACCCTGTATCACCGGGAATTGAGGGATTCCAAGGTGTAGACTGCTATATTTGTACGTCGTTCTCCACTTGCCGGCCATCGTCGCAATGGGTTCGGATTTTGATGAATTTATTCGGTAGTTGAGGTAGGTAGGTAGTTACGTATTCGGCCACAAACCATTATATTATAGATGGGCTAGGTACTTCTTTATGTTTAGGTAGCATATCAATCTAACAAATAAATAGATAATGTTTGGTCATTGACTTTGTCCGCTTATATACAATACCCGGGTAGGAATGGTCACTCAGGCTTACCGATTCCGGTTCATCATTTCTTTATTGAAATATGCCCCAGCTATGAAAGAGGATATAAGGGATTCAATCGCTCAAATTAAGATATATTCGGAACTTGTTACCTACTGCATTAGCACCAATCAAGTTCAGTTTAAAGTTAACAAAATCATCTAAAAAGGTAACCATAGTTACTTGGTACATCAGTAGCTATAATTATAATCCCAGCAGCACGTAAAGTCAAGTTTACGTTCGTTAATCTATCGCGAATAAAGAACATTTTTATCTTTTCTTTCTCCCTTTGCCTTTTTGCTGCTATATTCTACTAGCGTTACCGGCCAACTAAGATTTCTCAGCACAAGTATGTCACCTACCCTAGACACTCACTCTGTGTATGGCATCGATCAACGGGTATAAATCCTGACACAATGCCTGTTAGGATTACTCTATAATTGATAAGGCACACACGCCAACTGCAAGTATCAACATTTGACGCTCCTCTGTCAAACTGCCATTGAGTGGTTGCTCCAAGGGTATAAGGAACTGATCTAATTGTTCGTCTAATATAAATTATTGGCATCTTAACGTAGCTTTACAGACCTTTTGTTACATACGGGAGGACAGTTGATTGATATCTGCAACTGTTTTTGGGAAATTTGCAATTTTGTTGCCGGTTCATACTTCGAGTAAAGGATGCAGCTCGGCTCTGTGATCGGTGTTCTTACTATTTCTCAAGCGGGACATATTATTTAACTCCCTAAAGGAACTCTTGTCAATCATAGGCATATAGAAAGTAGGGTAATTACCTAGGTTAGGTTAAGCTATTTTGGATAAGGAAGCCGGAGTTGCCAAGGTATTGCATATAAATTTATAACGCCGTTCATGTAACATTAGCTCCGGCGATATATTCCTTATACAACCAACAACCGGGCGCAGCCGGCTTGCGCCGCTCAACGCGTGGTCCGTGCCGTTATACCTGTTGGTCACGGGCACGGTGTTAAACAGAGACCCGATATTCAGGGTGTGAGTAAAGATAGGGGTATGATTGGTCAAACGAATTCCCAATCCTGAATCCTAGTCTGAGATATTGAGATAAATGTTGGCACTCCCACCGTGGATCATTCACTCTTCTGGATAGAAAACAAAAGTTTTAAGCTCCCTGGCTCCTTACAATGGCAGGCTTCTTACAACAAATCGGAAGCGAGCTCAAAGAATATCACATTTCCCACCTCATCCTCATTGCCGTCTTCCTCGGCATCGCATATCCGTGCCTTCATGCTTTATACAATCTCTATTTACACCCGCTTCGACATATCCCAGGCCCCCCACTATGGATCGCATTCCCAACTGCGAGAACGATTGGTATGGTTCGGGGAATAGCCGAATTCCAGGTCCGCGAAGCTCATGAGAAGTATGGCGAGATTGTTCGAATCTCCCCTAACACAATCTCCTTCATCAATCCACAAGCCTGGAAAGACATCTATGGACATGGACATGCGGAATTTCCGAAGTACTATCCTAAGGGGATCAACATGGACCCCAAAAAGATCATCTCGTCCAATGCATCAGACCATTTCCGCTTCCGAAGAGCAATGTTGTCAGCCTTTTCCGACAAGGCCCTGGCGCAACAAGAGCCTCTCATTAAGGTCTATGTTGACCTATTGATCGAGCGATTGCGAGAAGTGTCCGAGTCGGGTAATTCAACTGACATGGTCCAGTGGTATAATTTCACGACTTTCGATTTAATCGCAGACCTTGCGTATGGTACTCCTCTGCAGGGCCTAGCTGAAGGCAAGTCAAATGCGTGGCTCGATAATATCTCCAAGTTGATGAGGTATATGCCTATCCTGGTTTTGATCGGCGCGGCGCCTGTCTTGGGCCTAATTCTCAAGCTTGTTGCTGGATCTAAGGTTCGCAACTCGCAGGCCAACCACCTTGCGCTTGTTACCAAACTTGCCCATGACCGTATCCATCATAGAAAACAGGCGGATAGAGGTGACTTCATGGATTATTTTATGCGCTCACGTGGTCAGCCACACGAGCTGAGTGATGCCGAACTGATCGCGAACAGCGATCTGTTAATGGTTGCTGGATCAGAGACAACTGCAACGCTCTTAAGCGGGGCAACATATTGGCTACTAAAGACACCACATGCGCTTAAGAAGGCCACTGAGGAAGTTCGTAACGCGTTTAAATCGGATGAAGAAATTACCTTTCATGAAGTCCGCACTAAACTACCCTACATGGCTGTCTGCTTAGAAGAGGCCTTGCGCCTTTTCCCTCCAGTTCCGATGTCTCTAACCCGTTCGGTACCAAAAGGATCTATGCAAATCGTGGGCTTGACAATTCCCGAAAAGGTAAGGAATCAATACGTTAAATCTGCTATTATTGTCGTGTATCTAACAAGTATTTTTATAGACTGTCGTTGGAGTTCACCATATGTCAGCTTACCACTCAGAGCTTAACTTCCATAGAGCGCGAGAATACATCCCAGAGCGATGGCTCCCCGAATCCGTCACGAATCCAGCGTCGCCATTCTATAACGACCGTCGTGATGCTCACCGCCCCTTTTCCTTTGGGCCTCGGGACTGTATAGGCCGCAACCTTGCAATCCACGAGATGCATTTAATTATGGCTAGGGTCCTATGGAATTTCGACCTAGATTTAGATGATAAGTCTAGAGACTGGCATAACCAAAAGATTTTCGGACTTTGGGAGAAGCCACCTCTTGAAGTTGTTGTCAGACAGCGGAAAATCTAGAGTATCATGTATCTATGTGTCTATTAACTAAAGGCAATATGTATCTACCTACCATTTGTATAGCATATAACCTCTTATTATCATAATATATTAGTTCTAGTAATTATTCATTCAATAGTGCTATCTGCCGCCATTGCATGTAGGCGAAAGATGTATCTCAAAATCTTTGACTGTCTCTTTCACCTTGTCAGGATATAATAAGGCTACCCCACTAGATACAGGTCTATATAAGGAGAGGGTGTTCCCCCCTATTCTTGAGAAGGGTATGGGGCAACTAGTTTTTGTAAACTATCACGAAAATCCCGTATAAGTAAGGCCATCGTTATTTCTTGCTATTCATTAGACAATTATTCACTATTTACTTGAAGGAGGCTTCGATAAGACGTCATGACTAGGCAGGATGGGGCGATAGCGTTACAATGCATTTTCATTGTGATTGTGATTATCCTTAGTTGTCTTCTATTTCCCCGCATAATCAACGCTAACAATGCGAACTTCGTATAAGATACCTAGACTCGGATTCGTACCTTGTACTTAATCGAAAAACTAGCGTCTACTACCTCATAAATGGCTAGATCGGCAGCTTGAGACCCCCTGGTAATTTGAGACATGCCCTAGTGTGGTATTCTACTAAACGACAAGCGAGTCGTACACGCTCTCGCTTTCTGTGTCCGAAGATGTCTATATTGAAATTGGCGTTGGGTGGCTCATTAATTGTCAATTAATTCTGGAAGGTTTATTGGGGGGTTCTTGTTGATAGGTGCCTAGGTTACCTACGTAGGTAGAGAGCAAGAGTACCTGAAATTCATCTAAGTAAAACGTAAAGCCTCGAATATAAGAAAAAGAAAACTCGATACCGAGATTTTAAGACTAGAGGTTATGAGTGCTACTACCATTGACCATGTTTATTGCCAAATCATTTCTCCTCTTTCTTCCCCGTATAATAATATCTGCTGTCTATTCAGAAGCAGATGTGTCTCCTCCCCCTGAGCCCGAACCTATCGATGTTATTGAGTTGCCCCTCCCACCTGTATCTGATGGCTCGAAGGGATCATGTACCTTAGAGTTAGATCCTCTTGGTACAGGCTGCATTCTACAGAATGGAGGGGTTGATTCAGCCAGGAAGCTTTTTACCCGACGGCAGCCACGTTATTGCGCGTGTCAACTATACTGGCGCACCCGATTCAGGAAGCATATATACTGGCGACCAATTAATACTCATCAAATCCGACGGGACTACTTTCTGTAATGGCAGTCCGTTCAAATGCGTTACCTGTGGAATACCCCAGGATAACGCTGCTGGTCGAGCCAACGATCTGGATTATCCTCAGGCATTCCGCGACGGAAACCGGATTTTAGCCGGTACTAATATCGTTGATTGCGGAGAATTCGATCTCAGCAGTGATCGTTGTGTCCCCGAGTCGACATTTATATATCCTATTCGTTGGAACACTGCCGTAGCTGGATCAGGAGAGGGCGGGATCATTCGTGAGTTGCATTTACATCCCGATAACATACACATCGGCTTCAACTCATTCGTTAGCACGGCGGGAAAATTGGGCCAGTACGGCTACGTGGGCCAACTTGAATTTAACCCATCACCGACCACGGGCCTACCTATGGCATCCCGATATGACTTGGCGAATGTGAACGTCTTGGTTAGCGATGGTATCAGAAACCAGCCACTTCTCTTTGACGGGAATCGGATACGTGTCAATCCTGATGCTATCGCCGTGGGCGAATTCAGAGGATTTAGTGGAAGTGGTAGGGTGATGGGAGCCCAGACAGCATCAATGACCCACTATGGAACGGACGAGCCGACCCTAGATTCTCTCTGGACACCACGCGGCTGGTGTATTAGGAAGCTCTTACCGTTGCGCCGGCTTGCGGAGGTGATAATCCACTCCGTTGCCCCAATTCGACCGAACCAGGTGGTCGGACGGAACGAGTGATGGTGGCGCATTTTACTTCTCGCCAGCCTGTGCCACTGGCACGGCACATGTTGAGCGACTATCTCTTGGGCCACCCCTTATGAGCCGGGATACGCCCCTCCTCTACCACTGTTCGTTTCTAGCGGCGAGTATACAATGTATGGTGAGGTAGCTGGTTCGGCTCAGATCACCATCGTTGCAGACGCCAACCTTACAATTGTGAAGTCTGTTGCTGTGAAATATGACAACTTCTCTGACGATGGAATTACCTTTCTCGATGGTACAGAACACGACGCTGAATCCAACCGTCACTCTGAACATAGTCGACTGGTACTCCGACCTGGTTCAGACTGGACAGACGAACGCTACTAAGGTGACTAGCCCCGATGTATTCCATTTGTCTATCGACGCATTCACGAATATCTTCGATGCGAACGGTACGCTGAGCACTGCCATCAATGGTACCTTGTACATCCAGCCAGCAAATGGCACTTGAATCGAATACATCAAGTGCTGCAATTTTAAATATTGGCTATTAGCAATATGTACAAGTTCTCATAGTAGCACCCGTGCAACTGGCGATTTTTACCTAATATGTAGACTGGCTCGTACTTCGTATGTAGTTCGGCGTTTCTACGAATACGAGACCAGGGGGGATATCCGTGATCACCCTCGTATTCGTACTTGGCCTAAGCTTCTATATGCATGACTCGTAATCGCCGCGCGTTTCCGAGCATCTACTACGAATTTTATAATTCCCCGACCTTCAACTTATGACGAGGTAATGTAATGTCTACCGTGTTAAGACCTAAAGTCTACCTAGATACATAGTAAGCAGTAAGTATGGCCTCGCCAACTCAGAAGGCTACCCGAAGACCGCATGCGAAGACTCGGACAGGATGCCGAGTGTGCAAATCCAGGAAAATTAAGGTGGGCTCGCTTAACAACTCGCTCTTCGCTTGCATCGTTCTAATCGTACTTACATAGTGTGACGAAACGCGACCGTCTTGCCGCAATTGTATAAGGTAAACACTAGGTTGTTGACTATGCCGTCTCTGAAGAAGTGACGCCGTGCTGATTGGACCCTAGACGTGGGATTAATTGCGATTTCAACATATCAACCCACCCTACGGCCCCTAGTCCTCACATTGCCAACAGCAGTACCGGACATACCCCCACTAGCCAGGTCACATCTCCCATAGATACTTCCATTCATCATCAACATGCGCCGGCAGGCTGGTTTAGTGCTCTCGACCTCGAGCTTCTCCACCACTTTACTACTTCAACATGCTTCACCTTCTCCGCTGAACCGATGCTTCGTAACTTCTGGCGTGTAAACTTACCGCAGATGGGATTCTCATATGAATATGTCCTTAGAGGCCTTCTGGCCGTTGCCGCATTGCACCTTTCCCGGTTCAAACCACAGCGAAGAGATACCCTAATCGAGCAAGCCATGGTTCACTACAACGCGGCGTCATCTATGGTACTAACTATACTTAATGACTTCACTTCTCCCCATTCAGTACCCATATTCTTCTTCAGCATGCTCACGACATGGTTCGCGTTTGCTAACCCCAGGGAACCGGATAACCTCCTTTTAATATCGAATGGAGTCACGCCCGAATGGGTATTTCTTTTCAGAGGCATGCGAAGCGTAATAGAACTCAATGCTGACGCCATAAGCTCCATCGCGGCACTGGGTTTCATATTCGACTCGGGCAGACGGATGAACGAGGTTTGGGAAACTACTACGCCCCCCGAACACGAAGGGCTTAAAGAATTGGAAAATACTCTCAAGTTATACGTCAAAGATCCACAGAAATTAGACGAACTTACCCACGGGATAGAATCACTAAAGCGGAGCTTCGTCTATTTCTCTAATGGTAACTTCACCGATGATCAGCGGCTTAGAGCCGCATTTATGTGGCTATTCAAGGTTCGAGAGAATTTTGTAAAGTTACTAAAGGAACGGGATAACGAAGCATTATGCGTGCTTTCTTTCTTCTGCGTCCTACTTCAACGACTTGACTACATCTGGTGTATAGAAGGTTGGGGTATGCATTTGGTTGGAAGGATATACTCCGTGTTAGATGAGGGATATCGACTATGGATTCGATGGCCGATTGAGGAGATTGGTTGGGTCCCGTAATATGAACCATAAAACATCATAATGATAATGAATAGTTCCAAGAGGCAACGACATTGTCCCTAGCGATGAGGGCATTGTAATACCATCGCCTATCAATCAATATACCCCCACGACTCTAGCCTGCCAGCAGATATGTATACTATAAGCCCCAGTCAACGGAGATATAATAATAGTATAGCAAATTCTATTTATTGGGCCAGAGCGATCATAAAGTCCAATGCTGGGTATTGAAACAAACCAATAAATACTGAATAGAAATGTAATTATCCATGTTTACAGTCTTTTAATAGTAGCTGGGCTTCGAAAGGTAGTAACCCTTGACCACTTATCTCGTATTGCTTTGGCGGGAGGGTCAACTCAAAATGGGCAAGCCCTGTTAACACAAACTACGTGATACCCTGCCTATTCACCAGTATTATAGGGTTGTAAATGATGGCTAAAGAAATTGTAGACTAACAAAATCCTCATCTGGGGACCCTGGTCTTTATTGATAGCACTGTTCCTGCACACCTCTATTCACATTGTTTAGCCCTTGGGATAGTGGTAGCGATGGTTTCGTACGGGCCTACGTCTTAATATGCATGCAATTCACCACATTCCCAACCATATATCTCCATAATTGTGAACAACGGAATTTTTTTTTTGGGTAGACGGGCATTAATACATGCCAAAATAACCCTTGATTTGCTCTCTGCTTATTCCCACCATCATCGTATTGCCTTTCAACAGCTTAAAGCTTTTACTAATAATTAACAGCAATCGCACCAACATGTCTAACTCTGTAAGACTCGAAGATAAAGTTACACCTGAGCTCACCGAGGGGGGTTATTACATGGAGATGATGCGTGACCGAAGCGAAGAGGAGCAGGAAGCTATTTTAGCTGAGGCTCGTGAGCGCGATCTTGATCGTCCTTTGCCCTTTTATGAATATGATACTTTTCCCAGACGGGAGGTTCACCTTGACACGACACCTGAAGAGCTGTTGTCTCCCGAAATACTTGCGATGCCGTTTGGCGATGTCCTGGACAACTACTCGCAGCTTAACGGTACGGTTCAAGCTCACATTAGATTCTTCTTTCGGCAGAAATTAGGTATTCTCGAGGAGCACACTCGTCAGGTTCTTCAAGGTACTGCTGGTTCTTGTGAACCACTAGTGTTAGGTCGTATCGATGCCAGCGAGTGCACTCAAACGAGAGAAAGCGAAGTGGGAGGGATCAAACAATTAAAGGATAAGGTGAAGTTGAAGGCTTCCACCAAGGTCCCGGCCTCGGTGTTGAAGAAACGGGGAACTTTCGTCGGTTCCGTTCTTTGTAAGCTACACGGCATTTAAAAGCCCCAATAGCTTCAACTCATGTTTACTTTACCTAGGCTGGTACCTGGGCAGGTAATCTGAGAAACTCGAGAGAAACCTTGAATATCTTTAACATTCATTTCATTAAGCAGGTGCCTGTTTCAGTGTAAGTAGAACTCATATAAATCAATGAAATACCCAGAAAACTTGAAAACCAGACAAACTACGATATGCCCTGAACATGTTCCTTGTGATAGATTCCTGAAAATTAATATTAATTCTTTAAATCAATCAAATCATCCCCTTTCTTAGTCTTATGCTCATTATTACTCTTTGATCTTTATATTTTATTTTTATTTCCGTAGCTTTTCCACTTTGCCGTTTCCTCCTCGTTTAACTCCTCTGCGAAGAAAATAGGTAGTAGACTTCTGCCTACGCGAGGATAGCGGTCTTCGACAGCCAGCAATGCATCCATAACTTTATGCTTCGCAATCACTTCTACAAACTCAAGGGGCATACCAAATGCCTCTGGTGAGCGACTAGCACCGGCAACATAAGTGTTTTGCAAGATGCCTAAGCCACCCACCGCGAGAAGAAACCAAGTATTTTGTTGGATCCCCGAGGCGGCGATCAGGAGGAAGATCCAGAGGACAGCCAGAACAAGAACAACTAGCCTTGCCGGCCACGACTTGATTGTTCCCCAATCAGAAGCGGCAAGGTCCTCTAGGTCAAAGCCAACACCAGCACCTTGAATTACTATGGCATATTGGCTGCCATTCCCTCTAGTCAACGCGAATGTCTTCTCTGTGTCCTCGCGACAGGCCCATTTCTCTTTAGCCCACTGGGGAATAGCTCCCGAGATGAAGGCCAATATCATGCCTGCTGCGGTCACGAGTAGAATACTCCAATTGCCGTATAAACCGCACGGTATAGCTGCCACCCCGAGTTGTAAGAGACAGGTAACAAGCCCAGCAATATAAGGGGAATCGTACCCGGGGTGATTCTTGAACGGCTTCCTTGCCCTGTAAACTGGAACACACAATCCTGTTTTGGGCGGTCGTGCCGGTTCCAATTTCCCCCTTTCTCGAGCGCGCCGCTTCATATCCTCCCAGCTCAGATCGATAATCTCCTTGACACTATTCTCAACCGGATTCCGGACAGTAGCTCTATTTACCTCTACAGCACCATCAGCATCGGTGTTCTGGGCCTGTGGTTGACTGTCCATCCACGTCTCAAAGTCCCGGACGATGCGCCCGATAACCCAACTATCATTGTCGCGCACAAATCCGTTTTGCGCGTTGACGACTTTACACGAGTAGTCGGGGGCGGGCATCAGCCTGTTCCCACCAATGGCGGATAGAACGGCGGTTACGGCGTATGCAACCCATCCTAAACGAAGGCGAGATCAGATCAGCTGAAAAGTACCTAAGGTTCGTATCAGCAGGTGGCGGCGGCGGGAGCATACCAAATGAGAATGCAACTGGGGTGATGCGCGACCCCACCAACTGCGCGAGTGCACGAGCAACGACGTCGCCGCCGAGAAGAAGGAGCACGGAGAAAACGTCACTTGGATTTGTGAACTGGCTCGTAAAGTCGCTCGAAGGAGCGCTCGGATCGAAAGCGCGCCGTAGGACGGGTAGCAGAGGAGCCATTTTGCTCAGTGATGTCGGGGTAACTTTAGTGGAGGACCGTATTCAGAAAGCCAGGAGTGCATAACCACCTCTAAATAAAGTAAGATAGCTAGTAAACCACTCTCACATCGTAAGGAGATAAGATGGCTTTATTGAGAATGGGTACCTATGTTCACGAGATCAGCAAATAGTCTATGGCCCTCTTATTGGTTGCGACGAAACAAACCAGAAACAGGAATGTGCTAATTTCCTTAGCTCGCATCAGCCGCACTGCTGGGACTTCCTACCGCGCAGTTTTGCTTGTTGAACCATAGTTTATTTTATATAGGTACCTGGTTATGTCTGATGCATCTCGAAAAATTAAGCTTAAAGTTATAGTTGCGGGGCTGGGGTCATCGCGTTCGAAACGTGCGGCCCGTTCCGTGATGTACATAGACTTTACCCTATAACATAAATACTCCGATGCTTGGGACTAATTCCGACTTTCTACGGGTTAGTGTAGGTTATGTATAGATTTTAGCTTATAAGTTTACATAGACAGAAGTAGTAGTGATCATGTGATTGACTTTTATTATTATTAATTTCTATATCGATGGCTCGATGCCTATGTGTGTCTATGATCAGTCAATATATCATAATGTCGTGATGGTAGCCCCCTTCCCTAAACCCGCTTTCTGTTCCTCGTAATCCGTAGTTAAATAAAATACCCAAAAACTTTTAGAGAACGCCTTATGCGACAGCAGTCATTTCGTAGGGCTTTAGTGGTAACGTTACCGGCTCGCACTGGACTGTACGAGCCGTGTAGATGTTGCCGATCGTCCAGTTAGGGTTGGTCCATGTCTCATCTGTGCAGGAGAGATCTAGATCGACAGTACCATACGCATTAATGGTAGTACTATGAAACTTGTTAGAGTTGATGATGGCCTACGTTCTTTTGATGGTAGTAACTTACGGGTATGTCGGATCGGTGTCGCTGCAGCTCCAGGTCTGGTTGACGTTCAACTTGCCACTAGGGCGGCTGAAGTCGAAAGTAGTCTTTGTAGTGTACCCCTCCGGAACAGTGCAGGTGTACGCCATTGTGCCGTAGAAGAAGTCGGAGAGCTGGTTGCTAGTGGCACTGCAAATAGCCTGGTACTCGAGAGCCGGGTTTGTTAGGTTGAAATTTACATAACCCCACGAGTTTTGATGGGCGGGGGTACTGAAAATGTAAGATGCATGATAGTCGAAGTTTTCAATCGTCCATTCAAAGTTGCCGAAAGAGGCTTCTTGGCAACCGGGATTGCTGTCGCGGTTGTTGAGTTCCAATGGCGCCGCAGCTGCCAAAGGTAGGAGAGTGGTGATGGTTGAGATGAAGCCGCGCATTTTGATGTGATGTGATGTGATGTATATTATGTATTGTATTAATTATGGTATACAATAAAAGGTACCTAGATTGGTAGTTGATGATTGAGAATTATATATTATTGTTGACTGTAAGTTATAATACTCTATTGGTTGTTGATGTATATAAAACTCTCACCAAGAGGGTGGAAGGCATTCGCACTTATATAATATTGGTAGTTTTCACTTATGGGCAGCTCCTCTCGTGAAGAGTAAGATCTGGTGATGGACTCTAAGAACCGATGCAAGAAGCTAGTGACGTCGACAGGCGATCTTGGGCTGCATCGAGCCGCCAAGATCTCGTATTGCTGAGAGGGGCTGTGAGGTGTTAGCTAGCGAGTCATAGTGCTAACGGAGGCCGAAAAGGGAAAAGAGACGGCCCAAATGCCGATGTTACTGTCCGTTATTAGTGGACCTTAAAGAGCACAATTCAAAGAGTTCCCGATTCTTATTAGCCATACTACCTACCTCTAACCAGCCAGCCACAACAACCGTAGTCCCGGAAGTGGATAGAGCTGACCGGCAGATGCGGCACATCTGATTTTTTTATTCGTGCTGCGCAACAGTTATTTTTATCCTCGCCTATGCATGTTATCGTACCGGTACCATGGAAGGGTCCGGCCGTTCAACTTTTACATAAACGCCTCAGCGTTCCTAATGTCCTTAACCCAATCCTTAAGTTCACTCTTAGGTGAGCTGTACAACCGAGCTGACGCCTTATAGAAGTCGGTGATTGGATAGCTATCTACCAATTATTGAGGCTGCGCAATGGAGAGAATACGACAGTAACGTTACTGATCAGCTGCAGGTACACTGTCTTAGGAATTCTCGTTTAATGACTTTTTTGCCTTCGCTTATAGACAGCAGCCCGTTTAGTGACGCGAAAATTCAGCGACATAGCAAATCATCAAAGAACATTTGATCGAGTCCACGTGGAATCTCGTAGAGTCTGTCCGAATTATGTCTCGGTCTATCCGTCCATATCGAATTATACGAATTCTTTGTTGAACCGACGTTTACACCGCATGCGATAGCGAGACTATGCTAAGAAATACTATTTGTTTTTGTGCCCACTTCAACTTTAAGACTATAATGAATGGTGGCTATTATCGTATCAGCATGGTATCATATCTCGTTAAAGACGCCATCGCTCGAAAGCTCAGTATCTTCGGCGGTGAGCGAACATCAACGCAACACAGCATTAGGTAAGGTTATGTAAATACGGATTGTATTTATTAAGGCGCCTTTCTTTTTTTGAGCGGGCTAGTAAGTGATTGAACATGTTGATAAGTATAGGTAGGTACCTTTACTTAGATACCCGTTACGTCATTGCTTTCGGGTTGAAATACTAAAGTAGCCAAGAGTTTTAACTCTTCTCTTTATTTCTATCCGAGGCCGAGAAGACCCCACACGAAAAGCAACATTATACCCTTTTACTACGAATCTATAATTACCTAATGTTCATATCACCTTGGATACGCCGTACCGTGTACGACACAATTAAGATAAGGTCGCCACGTACAATGGCCGATCAAAAGCTTAACCCTAATTATACCTATATAAAAATCAGAAATCGTCCCAGCAACTTTGGACTATATTTGAGAGCAATGATTAAACAACCTTATTTAACGATACACCAATAAAACGAAGCCTTTCGCCATTGACAATATAGGTAGTTCTTCATAGTTTAAAATGATGGTTTAATTAAGACTATTTAAATATTTAAAATGAAGATAAGGCCATATGAAAAGCTAAAAAGTCCGCGATGCATTTATTAGGTATATATGCTTGTATGCATATTTATGCAATTGCCCCACCGCCTGACCGTGTCACCGTCATGCCGGGGTTTCGGTCTGCTGCGCGTGTCTCGTGCCTCGTGCTTCATGCTCCAAGCTTGCCGCCTACTTTCCATTCCGCTTCCGGCGCCAACAGTATTAGATATTTACTATTCCAGCAAACTTCATATCTTCAGGACGGAGATAGATACAGAGCTCTTCCCAGTTTACCCACAAGCAGCATTATTTCTTGTCAATCGGTACAATCACGAGTTTACACCTAAGGGTATGGCGCCACCCGCCGAGATCACTATCCCGACAACGTCGCTTCAAACCTCGGCCGACAATTCGAAACCCTATACGCTCTACAACATCACCCTGCGCCTTCCTCTACGAACGTTTGTTGTACAGAAGCGTTATTCCGACTTTACCACATTACATCAAAACCTCACCTCCTTAGTTGGCGCACCACCGCCCACCCCTTTACCAGGGAAATCGTGGTTTAAATCTACGGTCACCTCTCCCGAACTTACCGAAGACCGCCGTCGTGGCCTCGAAGCTTACCTCCGCGCCATTGCTGAGTCCCCCGACCGAAGATGGCGTGACACGCCGGCGTGGCGCACTTTCCTAAACCTCCCGAGCCTAAGCAGTACCAGTAATAGCGCAGCCAGCGTGAGAGCTGGCTATGGCATTCCCAGCCGAGATGCTGCGAACGCTGCCGCCGCACAGGACCCGGGGACCTGGCTCGATTTGCATGGAGAAATGAAGAGAGATTTTCAGGAGGCGCGGCGGTGTCTAGCAAGGAGGGATAGTGCTATGGATAACTCGGCAGCGCTCGAAGCCGGATCAGCTGCCAAGAAAGCGCTGGTCAAGGCTGGCAGCTTGCTTACCGTTCTCGGAGATGGTCTTAGAGTGATGCAGGATGCGAGGAGGTTGGGCGATGGCGAGATTAGACGGCGGAAAGATTTGCTCGCTGCTGCACGGGTCGAAAGGGAGGATCTGGAGAAGCTGAGCACCGCGGTATCCGCGGCTGCGAAGGCATCTCAAAGGGCTATGCCTTCCGCAGCCGACAAAGCCGCGTTAATCGGACACGGGCCCAAAGGACGCGGCAGGGTTCTCGGCGCCCCGCTGCCCGAGAGCGAGCGCACCCGGGAATTGGACAACAGTGGAGTCGTACAATTGCAGCGCCAAATGATGAAGGAGCAAGACGAAGATGTAGAAGAATTAGGTAAGATCATCCGGAAGCAGCGCGAGATGGCGGTGGCGATCAACCGCGAAGTCGAAGAGCAGACCGAGATGCTAAATCACGTCAATAACCAAACGGATGTCCTGAGTAGCAAGGTCAACGTCGCTAAGAACCGTACTAAGAAAATCTCCTGACTCAACCTGGTCATTGGATCGGCGGTTAAAGGGCTCCTCCTCTGGGTCGAGTTTGTTTTAAGGATCATCTGGCTTGTTAGAAGCATATTCGAGTGGACGACTTGGTTAATTGAAAGCTTACTCTTATTAGTACTAACGGATTGATGAATGTTCCTATACATTTAAAGTCGCCCATAGATCGTTTAGCATCAGCGTGTTTGTCCGTTTGAGCGACCTTTTCAGCGACCTTTTCAGCGACCTGTACGATATGATGGGCATTATTTTATCGGATAAGGACAACTGTACTTTTATAGACATAGCAACTTCGACATCGAGATACCAGTAGACTGAAGGGATTTTGTATATTTTTAAACCAATCATTTACCTGACTTCTTAGCCTTGGTCTTGAGGGTATAACATGTCTACCTAGACATACAGCAACTACATCTAAACAAGCTCATTATTATATGAAAAGTAATTTTAAAGAAGCTGAACTTTCTTCAGCCTCTTTGACGAAGTTTAGCATATATGCCTCCGTACCTAGTCATTCAGTCTGTTGCGTATTTACTTCAGTAAACTCTGTAACTGCGCCAAACGGAAAGAAAGTAAGGCTCAACATTTATAACTTTCGTCACGCCAAAACCTTGCTCAAATTGTCATCTGGCAAACAATTCGTGAATCACTGATATACCTGAAGATAGCCTAAGGCAAGAGTCACGGCCTTAGAAAAGACAGAGTACACAAGTACGTACATACAAATAAGAGTACAACTCTAAATAAACTTTCCATCCGAGTCAGTGCGTAGGAGATTAGGAGTCACAACCTTAGTTGCAAAATTTTCGATGTGGTTGCGTACCTCAGGTATTTGTAAATGAACCTGATACTATATTAAATACTGACGTTCTACCCCCAGGTCACTTTTTATTCAACACTTCTCCCAGACGTAAACAAATTCGCCATCATCAACTTATTCATATTCAATCCGAAACCACTCGTCTAAGCTATTTCGCAGGTTTCTACTTCTTATTGAATCATCATCTTTCTACGCACATCTGCCTTGGATCTGCCTTGGGTGGCCTCAATAGTTACTTCTTCCGGTACATCTTTCGATTTCCACTACTACAACTACTTCCATCCTTACCCCTAAGTTATTTACATATCCAATAAGAAGCCCCTAAGCTTTCATTCAAACATCCTCGTCTAAGACACAATGGAGTCCGCAAAAGCTACTAGGCTTAGAAAGGAGGCAAAGGCTATCGTCGCCGACCGAAGAAAGTATAAGCTAAAGTATCGTTCGATGCAACGATGGGTTTACGACAAGTACAAGCCCATCACCACTGGTGGCGATGAAGAAGCTCAATCCGACGCTTACGACAGAGAAACTTCTGCTGAGAACGCGCGTATCAGCACACAGCCAGCAAAGCGTTCAGTTTGGCATCTCCCGTCCTCGTCAAATGGACGACCAGGGCCAAGAGGCTTGACTCTAGGCACGATGCTTCAGGTCGCGGAACAGTGCTACCATGTTTCCACCAACAATTTCGACAGTATGAGCTTGTGTGATCACATCCACTACATCCAGGAAGCATTACAACTAGATAACTCACCGGTACCAGTTTCTAAAGCACTGGTGACTCGGCCTTTAGTAGTCCAGGCCCAGCATCAACAATATCTAGCTAAGGAAGATTTCACAGCCTGTGTAGCCAAGATCGCTATTCACAGCAACCTACCAGAAATCTTCAAGCAAAACTTGAAAACGTGCAAGGACTGTTACGATAAATTCCGGCCTGATCTATTGTCTTGTGCTTGTGCCAAGACCAAGCAAACCTGCCTCCACGGTCCATGTCGCTACCACCCAGGTGAGAATTTCTATCACTATAATATACACATGGCAACGAGCTAATCAAATGAATGAATAGGTCAAATTAAATCCTGGGGACCGAAGTGTAGTAATGCGGATTTTCTGACCAAGGAAAAGGTCAATATTCAGGAATTCGACATATGGATTCATCAGTGCTACTGGGACTGCTGTGGCGCCAAGCTGGTACCCGTCGATCCTGATACGGTACGGCGTAGCCATAAGAAGAAGAAGACTGCTCCGCAGCCTTGGGAGGTTGCAAATGATATGGACGGAAGCGTGGGTTGTATGACCCGGGACCATCACGTTGCGATTCAGTAGCGTGCTATCGTTACTTACGGTTCTACTTGGAGTTGTTGGATATTGTCATTGGTCCTATTGACCACGGATGGAAAAGACATGGCTCGGAAAGAGCGCGCAAATATATATAGGGTTACAGGACAGGATATGATACCCCATGGCGTTTAGTAATTGTCATATGAATTTAAATTCAGCAGTTAAGCGATTTATTTAACTTGGTCTTCGGAAAGGTGCTGTTGTAGACCCATCATCAGGGTATCTAGGAAAAGGCGCTTCGATTAATATAAGTACCTAACCTAACCTAAGGCAACCAGTTGGCTCCGAGATTGCAATAATGAATATATCTGAACTAATCTTGATCCTCCGTTTGTGTTTCTAAAGAGGAAGATGAAGGAAAAAGAGGTTCTAAAATAGCTCGATTTATTTCTTTTACAATCCTTTTCTACTCTCTATCTATGGACAGTGTCCTCTAGAGACACGTTTACGCTATTAATTGAGTGTGATACAATAGCGCCACGGCCCGAAATTCTGTGTAATACTTCTATTGATGGTCGTGTGACACTAACATAAAGGCACCTTACTAATAATAAAGTGCCCTTATTGTAGATAAGGAAGGAAGAAATAAAATACCCGACTTTATTGGATAAAGGAGTTAAATATCCACTATTATTAAAATATAAAAACATACTATACCTAACTAACCTTAAATAAATTTTTCTCTTTTTAAATATTTTAATATACTAATTTCAATATTATTAATTTATTTACTATTATTTTATTATTATTATTATTATTCCTATTTATATATATACCTACCAATACTAATTAATATTATTAAATAATAATAATATAAATTAATAAGGTTAAAAAAGTCATTATTGCTTTAATTTAAAGATTTTCACTACAATAATATAAATAATATTAACACTTTTTTTTATATCATTTTCATAATTTATAATAAATTATAATTTTACCCCCTTACATAATCCATTCGCATTTTTAACAAACTATTACAACTTAAATCTCTTATCCATAAAATCATCATTATTTATATTATTAATCCTTTCTATTATATCTTAAAAAACATAAGTAAAAAATTTAACACAAATATAAACTCGCGTTATATATAATCCTATTAAATAAAAAAATATAAATAAATTATATAAGCTTTTAAACTATTTTTTTAATTAAATATTTATATTTAACATAATATTTAACTATATAATAATATAATAAAAAAAAATCGATTTTTAAATAGTTATATTTAAATAAAAAATAATATAAATATTTCTTACATTAATAAACTTTAAAACCATTAACAATAAAATATTATATATATACTTAACCAAAAAAATAATAGTTAAATATTAAAAATAATTTAAAAAATTTATAATAAATAATTTTAAAACATTACTAAAATAATTACAATTAACATTACAAAACGTATTAATATAGAAAAGTATTTATATAAAAAAATATAACGCTAATTATACAAAAATACTTATTAACTTTATATTATTACGTAACCTATCCATATAAAATACTACTAAATTAAAAATAATAAAAATAAAATAGTCTAACATATTAACATAGAAAATTTCGGTTTATAAAACCAAAAAAAAACTAATATACCTCGCTACATACGCGTTCATATAATTACAAACGTTAATACAGCAACATTAAACAATTTTTAATCCACAAACGCCAATATATACGATTACACCTATAAGATAAGCTTTAATATAAAATACCACGCCTTAAGCCCCATCCCCTTCCAACTTATAATATATATCACCTACTCCACAGCTAAAACAAATACTACCCCCTACCTTTAACCAACTATCGTCAATTCCCAATATTTCGCCACCAACTTAACAGTCAAAACCTATTCCCTAACCCCCCAACTAACCACCGCTCCTAATATACCTTCCCTCCCCCCTTCCCCATACACCTAACCTTAACCCGCTACCATAAAATATACCAAATTATTCACAATAATTAATATAACCCCAATAAAACAATTAAAGCGGCATTTAAATATTACCTAACCCCCCTTCCCCTCCCCTATTAACCTAATAAAAATTACTTATACCTTTTGTAAAATAATAAAAATATAACCTAGGATATAATTTCAAATATAAAACTAATTAAATATAATTCCTTTCCTTAATTATAAAAAATACGTTTAAATCTTTTAAACTATTACCGGATAATTTATATATAACATTAGTAATTTTATTAAACGTTAAACTAAATAAAAAAAATTAACCTACTAAAAACTATAATTTTTTTTTCTAAATAACTTCACTACTTTTATAAATACTTAACCTTTCCGCTTAAATCCTAATATTTATTAATAACTAATAAATTTAAATTTATTATAACATTTCTTTAATATAAATTCTTAATAAAATATACTTTTTAATAATTATAAATTATTTTAAAAAAATTTAAAATAATAAAAATAATTATATAAAAAAAATATATAATATTTTTAAAAATATATAATATTTTTAAAAATAAATTTTAATTTTTTTTAGATATATATTATATAATAAAAATTTAATAAATATAATTTTATACCATATTTTCTACTATTCTTACCGAAAAAGTAGTAATTTATTTTTTTAATAATATACCCAAACACTAATATTTCGCAAATATATATATAATTATAAAATAATATTTTAATATAAAATAAAATAAGATATAATACTATTAAAATTGGATAACTATTATTTTTTATAATATAAAAATTAAAGAAAAGAATAAAGATAAGTTTGATATAAAGGTATTATAAATTATATTTAATAAATTATTATTATATTAACGCATTTTTAAACCTAATTTTAAAAAAAAATAATAATTTATTATAATTATATATAAAATATACCATAATATATTATAATTATAATATATATTATTTATTTTATTATATTATTTTAAGAAATTAATTAATAAATTTTAAATATTTATTAAAATATTTAAAAATTTTAAAAAGATATATTAATTTATAATAAATATTAATAGCAAAAATAATAACAATAATAAATATAATATTAATTAATATTATATTAATTATAAATATTATTACAATAATAAAAATAATAAATATAATATTTATTAAAAAACGTTAAAATATTAAAAACGTTATTATTAGGTATATAAAAAAAAAATACTAATTAATTAAATATTTAAAAAAAAAACGCAAAAAAGTTAAAACCTAATAAAAAACCAAAAAAAACTAAGTAAAAGAAAACTATACAACTTTTTTAACTAAATACAAAAATATTAAAAATTTTAACGCAAAAAAGTTTAAAAAATTTACTAAAAAAAAAAAAATTTAAAAAATTAATATATAACTATAGCTTATTTTTTAAATAAATCTTTTTAATATTAATTTAACTTATAAATATTAATTCCTAAAAAATTTACTAATAAATCTAATATTAATACCATATTTATCTTTAATTAATACGCAAAAAATATATTTTAAAATATTATACCAAATACAGAAATAGCGTAAATATCAATTATAAATAAAGATTAATATTAAATCCTTATTAATAAAAATTTAAAATATTATAACAATCTAAATATTAACCGCACCAACAAAACTAATATACATTTTAAAAATGATTTACTTATTAAATTATTAAAAACTATAATAATCAACACCCCGTTTAATAAAATAAATTTTTATATAATAAAAACAAACACTTCGTTTTTTTTTTATTAAAAACATAAACCGCCTAAAAATATACCTTAATAATATTACTAACTAATTAATCAGCAAAAATGGTATAATAATTAAAATTATACAAAAATAAAAATATCTATAATTTTAATTTAACAATATTACCTACTTTACAAAAATAAAATTACATCGTTTATATATACGTTTTAACCACCTATTTATTAATAAACTTTACAATCTATTCAATAAAACAAAATATAAAATAAACACTAAAAATTTTAAAAAAATTAATAAATTTTATTATTATTATCAAATTAAAAACAAAATATTTTAACATTTTAAATTTAATTTTAAAAATTTTAATATAAACTTTAATTATAAAATAATTATTAATATTATATATTTAAATAAAAAATCGATTTTTTATATAGTTAATATAATAATAAAATTTTAAATAATCCAATTTATAAAAAACATTTTCACTAAAAAAACCTAAAAAATATTTAAATAATATTAAATCAATACATACTTAAAACTATTAAACGTTTTTAGTTACAATATAAATACCAATTTTAATAACATTAAATTCCGTAATAAGATTTACTTTATAGAAATTGTTTATAATTAAATACCTATTAAAATATATTAATTAATTAATAAAATAAAAAAATATTATAACTTGATTTAAAAAGTATATAAGATTATTTCTAAAGAAATATAAGGGTTAAAAGAAATTTATTTATAAATGACAATTAAAACCGTAAATAATACAATAAATCCAAACAATTTTGTTCTTATTTTATTAATTTTTAACACTTATCTAAAAATTAATATAAATTTTTTTTTTACATAATTATAATTAAAAAAAACTTAAATAATATAAAAAGCTATAATTGAAATTAAGAAAGTTAAAGCGTAAAAAACCATTCGCAACGCCATAAATACAAAAAACAGATTAAATACCTTAAAAACGCTACTTATATTACTATTTATTAACAATAACATATTAATTTACCGTAAAAAAAACAAATAAAAAAAACTATATAAGATTATTGCCGTTATAAATAAAAATATAACTATTGTATTAAATGCGTTAAAAAATATCTTAATTTTTCGGAATATATATGTCAAATCATATAAATAATTAAAAAAAAAATTTAAAATTTACTTATTGCTACCACTACTTTAATTTAATTCCAATAAATATAAAATTATATTTAATAAAGATTTAAATATATTTATTATAAATATAATATATATTAATATAAAAAAAAGAATAATTACGTTTTTATTTTAAAATTACGATTAAATAAAAAAATAATTACGCCAAAAAAATTATATAAAATTTTCGATATAAAAAAATTTAATATCCTTTTTACAAATAATATTTTATAATTTAAAATATATAATAAAATATTTTACTAAAACGTAACTATATTCAAATCTTATATAATTTGCAAAATCAAAAAAAAAAATACGCTAATATTATATAAGAAATTA